CCTTTGCATCCTCATTCTTCCTGGACACCTTCACCCAGTGCTTCTCTGTCATTCCAGGTGATCAATGCCATTGAACAGGACTACCGGCTCCCCCCTCCCCCAGACTGCCCCACTTCCCTGCACCAGCTCATGCTGGACTGTTGGCAAAAGGACCGGAATGCACGGCCCCGCTTCCCCCAGGTGGTCAGTGCCCTCGACAAGATGATCCGGAACCCTGCTAGCCTCAAAATCGTGGCCAGGGAGAACGGCGGGTGAGGACTCTTCAGAATGGGCCCTCCTTGCTGCACTCTGCCACCTCCACCCCTTCAGAATCTCCCCAAAATTACCCGTCATTTTGGGGGGTATATGGGATTTTCCCTGTCTGCCTCTCCAAGGCTGGACTCAACATCGCCATCCTGATACAACCCTGGAACTCAGCACATCCTCCCCATCCTTGTCTCCCAGGGCCTCGCACCCACTTCTGGATCAGCGGCAGCCTCACTACTCAGCTTTTGGCTCTGTGGGTGAGTGGCTTCGAGCCATCAAGATGGGGAGATACGAAGAAAGTTTTGCAGCCGCTGGGTTTGGCTCCTTCGAGCTGGTCAGCCAGATCTCTGCTGAGTAAGTCATAGCAGGAACTGGAGGTAGGGGTTAGAGCCAAGCAGTCAGAGGAGCATCTGGGGACCAGAATCCAGCCCACTGGTCAGCAGGGGCCTTTGGGGTCAACTCCCGGTGCCAACTTTTCTAGGGCCCCCTCAAAGCAGTAACAGCTGCTGGAGCTGAGAGCCCAGTGAAGCTTCCAGGCCAACTGTGCCCGCCTCACCCCCTTGCACCATTTCAGCCCTGGAGCATCTTGCTCCCTGCCTGGCAATCTGTATCTATCTTTGTGCATCTATCTACATTCCAGACCCTGCTCTCACATTAACAACGTGTCGACTTTGGATGTTTTCCCACCCATAAAAGGAAAAGATTCGACTAGGTTTTGGAGAACCTTTCCAGCTTTAATGTTAAATGGTTTTATGATTCTGACACTTTCCAAATACTGTGTTTTCCCTAGTTGGTCTCTCCCTGATACTTCTCCCTTCTGCCTTCCCACTTCTCTCCCAAGGACTTTTTCTGGCCCCAGATTTGAATAACAGAATAGAAGGACTAGAAATCTGGAACCAGAGGGTCCTGGAGGCCCTCTCCCTGGCAGGGCAGTCATGGGCCAGTCTGCCCCACTGGGCCTGGGCACTCTCCTCCCAAACTTGTTCCAGCCTCTCCTTGACCTAGGTTCTTGCTCTCAGTTTCCTACCTCTCCTTTTTTTCCCTTATCTTAGTCTCCAGGCCTCAGAATGGAGGGGGGAGGCAGTTTGTTTTACCCCCTCCCTCCCCTTCCTCTCCACCCAGCCCTTCCCCTCTCTCTCTGGCCTTTTCTTTCTGACCTTTCCTTTCACCTCTAAAGCAATCTGTGCATCCCCTTCCCCCAGTCTCATTTGGAGGACCTTTCTTTTTCTCGTTTCTCCCCTTCTCTGATTCTCTGCCTTAACCCTTGCTGGAGTATCCATCCAGGTCCCAGCCCCTCCACCCCACCCACCCCACTTCCTCACCTCCTCCCTTTCGGCCCTCCCCCTTCCCATCCCCAACTGCGCAAAGCGCTGTGCCCAGGCTCCGAAATCTTCCGGAAACCGCTGAGCAACTATTGACCTGTGTCCCCTCCCCCGCTGGTCTTCCTCATTGGCTGACAATCCTGAGGCGGTGAACAAGTTTCTGGAGCTAAGCTAGAAGAGCTATCCCAGCAGCCCCATGGCCTCACCTAGCTCTCTATTCTTTCTCAGGGACCTGCTCCGAATAGGAGTCACTCTGGCGGGACACCAGAAGAAAATCCTGGCCAGTGTCCAGCACATGAAGTCCCAGGCCAAACCTGGAGCCCCAGGCGGGTCTGGAGCACCAGCCCCTCAGTACTGACCTGCGCCTCCTGGCCTAGCCCCACAACTCTGGAGCAGCAGGAATTCCCATGATGGGGACACGGCTCCCCGTCTTTTTGGGGCAGAGTTGGGTGGGGACCCAAGAGGCCCCCATCCCTACGCTCCATTGGATTGCACTTTGAACCTATGGGGGCAGGGAGCTGGCAATTTGGAGAGACAGGATTTGGGGATTCTGCCATATGGGAGTGAGTATAAAAGTAACATGCCCCTCAGGTGGGGAACCCCGCCAAGGGTGTGGGAGCCCTTCCCTCAGGATTTTCCAGGGTGGTTGGGTGCAATCCCTTTGATCCCCAGTTAGGCCCCCAGGGTGCCTCTCCTCACCTTGAAGGGCCGCAGACCTTGCAGACCAAAGAGAAGAGGGTGACAAGCCCTTAAGCTCGGGAGTGGAGCGCCATGGTGGGAGGCGGGAAGGGGTGTCACGACCCAGTGATGAAATCATTGGATGGGATGTCCCAACCTTGCTGCTGTCTCCACCGAACTCACTTTTCCCTTGTAAATGCCCCTCCCCCATCTGCTGCCTTCATATTGAAGGTTTTTGAGTTTTAAGTTTTGGTTTTGGTCTTATTCTCTTTGGTTTTTGTTTCTTGTGTTTTTGTTTTGTTTTTGTTTTGTTTTGTTTTTTACTGTCTTTGTCATAATGTTTTGTGTTGGAGGGGACCTGTTCATGATCACTTCCTGTTCTCGCATGGGAACAGGGACCATCATTGTGTCTGTTTTCAGAGCAGCGCCTTGGTCCTGCCGCGGTTTCCTGGCCCCACCAAGCACCCGCAAGCTGTGTCCGTGGGGTGGGGGGGGCTGAGGTAGTGGTGGAAACCAGAGACAGACACCGGTGCTTGGAGGGGTTCTTAAATTATATTTAAAACAATGTTTTTGTATAAATAAAAGAAAATGGGAAGTGTTGCAGCTCTGGGGGTAATTGGGAGCGGGGCATGGAATAGACTTCTGAGGAGGCGGAGTGTGCGGAGGGGTAGGAGGTCTGGAGAAAGAGCCGTGGTGGGTCTGGGTGCTGAGTTCCCAACCCCAGGGTGTGTTTCAGGTGGTGGGGTGGGGGCAGTGGGAGATGAGTCATTAGCAGCTGCTTCTAACAGCTCCAGATGGTTCTGCCAAGAGCCTGGGGCACCTCCGGGGTGGGGCTGCCCCCTCCTCCCCTGCCCTGGTTTTCTAGCCCTGGTTCCCTAGCCCTGGGAGGGTGCTTGTTTGAAGCAAAGAGGAGGCCTTGAGCTCACAGCCCTGCTTTACAGCCCCATGTAGTGTGGGGGTCAGGGTGGGGGGTGGAATCCACTGGGATGGGGGTCCAGTCAGATGGAGACAGATGTGGGCCAGATGTTGACAGCTGGGGCTGGTTTAAAAGCCTGGGAGGAGAATGTCTGCATGGGCTGTGGGGGAGGTGCAGAGAGCCGGGGTGGAGGATGCAGGCCCCCGAATGTGCGCGCGCGCACACGCGTGCACGGGTGCGCACAGATGCCGGACTGGGTCAGGACAATTCCCCCTTTCCAAATGCTGCCCAGGCAGGTTTTCCCATCCTCTTGGGAAGGGGAGGGGGAAACCACTCAGTGTCTTCTCCCTCCCAAACAGGAAGCTGATGGGGCCAATCCCCATCATTTTTTCTCTGCTATCTTCCGTTTCTTTCTCCGCAGTCAGCTGCCCTCAGGGACACCTGCAGGGGCAGGTCTGGACTAGGGCAGCTTTGTCTGGTGGAGCAACCTCGTCATTTCTGCCTCTCCGTTAACCCCTGTTGTGGTGGTGGGGTTGGTGCAGGGTCATAATCACAGCTTCTGCCTCTCCCAGCCCAGGGAGCCTCTGGGCAGTGACCTCATCTCCAGTTTCCCACCTGGAGCAGCTTCTGGAGTCCCCTCACTTGAAGAGATATCCATATTTTCACCTCCAAGGGAGAAAGGGACTCGGTCCTGCCAAGGACTGAGGGGGGGTCTGGGTCTAGAAAAGGGCCTATCGGGGGGGTGCCAGCCCAGGCCACCCCTTCCCCTGACAACCAGACACCTGGCTAGAGAAGGTGGCCTTAGCTGGCCAGGGAAGGAGTAGGTCACAGCTGAAGAACAGGCAAAGGGTCGAAGACCAGGCGAAGGTCTGTGTGAGTGTGCAGCAGGAAGCCCCCGTGACACCCGGGTTAAAGCACAGTCAGCCCAGCTCCTGAGTTCCTGAGCGTGCCTGCCACACCCAGCTCAGAGTGTGCGCTGCTTCCCCCAGCTAAGGGGCAGGATGGCCTGGCCATGGTCACCCCTCTGTCCCGGGGCCCTCACTCCAGCCAGGTTAGGTCTTACTTCCTTGAAGGAATGTGGCTACAGAGCTGGTCATCTTGGAGTATAAGCACAGGGTAAAGACATTTTTTCAGAACCCTGCCACCTTTGGTGCCCCAAACTCAGGTCCCCTGTCCCTTGGGGTCCTACATCCTGACCAACCTCCCCAAATTGGGAGCTTTCTTTTTCTTCTCTAAGCCCAAGCAGAATGTCCCCTCCGCCCCCAAACAAGGACATGCCTGCTGGGAAGTCCTGTGACCTCAGGCTGAGTTGGGGGGTGGGTGTCACTCCTAGGATGGGACTCGACTCCTCAGCAAGAGGCCTCAGACCCCACCCTCAGTTGCCATAGTAACCCTCTGGCCCTTTTGGGAAATGGATGCCTGCAGAAGTGGGGGTGGTTCCTCAGAGGGGCACAAGCGAGGCCGCCCTTTGGAAAAAGCTGTATTTCCCATTCTTAGCCTCTACCAAGCAAGTCATCTCCAAGTCATCTCGTCACCAGAAATGTCAAACCCCTCAGGACCTCTTTTCACTGCCTCCGGTAGGAAGCACAGAGGCCAAGTCCTCTGAGGAGGAGGACTACTTGGGGGGAAACATGACAAATACAATCTTTTCTCCTGTGTCCCAGAAGCCAGACACTGGCTCTGCCTAAGGGACAGACCTCACCTGCTCAGACCTCCCCTCTCTGGACATTTTGTGGGTTACTGAGCCCTAGGCCCCCCACACCTGTCTCCTTCCTATTTCTCCCCCCAAGGCCCACTTCACCGACCCTGCCTCCACCATGATTATGTGGAAATTCACATCCCAAAAATAAATAACTTTATTTTATCTCTCTTCTTTTGAGGACAACTCAAAATTGAGTGACTTTAAAGGCAGGCTTGGGAACAGAATCTGAGGAGAAAGCGAGAAAACCTGTATTAGAGGCCTCCCTGACTCCCAGTGGTCCGGGTTCCGGGTGGCGGAGTGGTTCTCACCTGTGTCTGCCAGCCTGTGTGTGCTGGCTCCAAATTTTCTTTCTAGGGGATGGCAGGGAACAGGGGATCGGTGCCTGCTCTCCGTTCACTCACCTCCCAGCTGCCCCGCTTCATCCCCCCTTCCAGAACTCACCTCCTCCTCTTCTTGAAAACACTATTTCTGATCACTGCCAGCACTATGACTGCCATGGCCACCAGCATCCCCAACAGGGGGACCACAGAGTGGCACGCTGCCTCTGGAATGGGATGGGGAGGGGTGGAGGAGGAGACACCCGCTTTGGTCTGTGGTTGCCACCCTGAAGTGCCTACATGCTCCTAACTCCCTGGTTGTGGCTGGTTCTCCAGCAGGACATTGCCCCAGGGGTTCCACGGCCTGAGTGTGGCGCTCTCCCCCCAAACACTTTCTGTTTCTGGGCGCACAATTCCCATAAGCCTTTTAGGGGAATGTTCATCCAGTTAATCCCTGGAGTCCAGGGCATCAATCATATCTGCAAGTGTTTCTAACAGAAGAATTCTGGAATCACTTCCTTCGACCACCTGGGAGCTCATTAAAAATGCAGATTTCTGGGCCCACTCCAGATCTGCTTAATCGGAATCTCCAGGATGAGTGTGTTAAACAAGTCACTCCGCCCAGCCCTACCCAGCAATGCCCAACCTTAGGTAAGCTAGAGTTGGAGAGCCACTGGCCCAGAGGCTCAAGGGAATTGTAGTTTTGGATGGCAAAGAACAATAAAAGGTCGTGGGGAGGCCTAGAGTGATGCAAGAGGGGGAATAACAGTGGGGGTGAGGCATATAGATCTCAGAAGAGACCTGGGGTTCAGAGAAATTCCAGAAAATGTGGGTAGGAGAAAAGCACAGGGACTTTGAGGCCCGGTCCTGTTCATCTCTAGGGACCATACTATATTTTCTATAATATAGATTATATTAATAGTATATTACCTCTCCTTTGTATGTCTGTAATACATAGCAGTGCCTACGAGATGCGAACATTATATACACGGAGTAGCGGCAGGTGCTTGTGGGGGAGGGACTGTGAGGACGCAGGGCCTGGGATGAAGTTCTTACCTGGATTTTCCGGGGATAGCACGTCCCAAAGTTCCACGCAGTGGTCTCCTCCGTGAACAAAGTCACACTCACAGGTGAAGGGGGCACCCTGCTCCTGACAGTGCCCATCGTTCTGGTAGGGGTTCTGCAGACGTGGGCTTTCTACAAGGATGAAGGGGACTGGGTGGAGGGGGGTTCTGGGGGGACACCCACAGTCAGGGCAAGGGGGCCAGGAGCAAGGATCCCAGGGGGTAAAGCAATAGCCTCCATTCCTGGCTCCGCACTCACCAGCCCTAGGCTCTGGGGAAACTGCTCGCCTCTGAACTCCATTATTTTTACCTATAAAATGCAGAAACTAGACTCGCTACCAAGTGCTGAGCGATGCTAAGTGCCCGGTACCTAGCAGATAGCTCATGCTCAGGATACATCAGGTCCTTAACTTCTGCCCTTCCCCGAACAGGAAGGGGCTGAGTGAGGAGGAGCAGAATTAAATGGCACAAACTTCTGGGCATCAATGGGGAGGAGTTCCAGGCATAGGACTGGAGGGACAGTCTTCCGTCCAAGGACCCCCAGGATATAGAGGCAAGGGGAGGTCCGGGCTCACCTTGGAAGCAGCCATGAGTGAGGGTCCCCAGGGTGCAGATTCCCCCAGCACTGCAGCTGAGGGGCTCACTCAGCAGGACCTCTGGTCTGGCACAGGTGTGGCACTGAGAGCAGTTCTCAGTCACAAAGCTGTCACCCCTCTGGAGAGGGAAGAAGGGCCTGGAGAAGAGGGACTCGTTTTCCTCCCTCCACACCTCCACCCCACAGGGCCTCCCACATCCCCTGACCTGGAAGTAGATGCCGTTGTTGGTGCAACCACAGAGGGTCAGGGGGAGGCTCTGGGTGGCACTGTAGATGCGGCCCAGGAGGCTGACACAGCCTTCCACCCAGGGGCCCTTGCAATCCCTGGGGGCTGCCAGGTTGGAATAGGAGTTGTAGCCGGGTGTCATACAGCTCTGATAGATGGTATTGGCTGGGTACACCAAGTCTGAAGGGACAGAGTCACAGAGTGGTCAGGCTGGGACTGGCCCAACAGGTGCAGGGAGTGTGGGGCTGGAGGGGGAGCAAGGCCACCCACAGGACACAGGCATGGAAGCCAGGCAGTGAGCCGGTTCTGAGTGTGTGACATTAAAGCACGCAAAAGAATGGGAGGAACGAAGATAGGTACAGGTGAGAAGAAGCGAAATGGGCGGCAGGGTGGGGATGACACTTCCCTGGCAGAGCCAGAGAGCGCTCCAGTTGGGAGGACGCTGACATGGTGAGAGCCGAGAAATGGGGGACCCAGGTGGGAAGACCCAGGTGTGGACAATGGTGGTGGCACAGAGCTGGGCAGAGGTGGAAATGGCTGAGGGGGTGCGGGGCCAGCAGGGGGAAGCTCAGGGCCTCACCGCAGTGGGTGTGGTCCCGCCAGCTGGCCAGGGCAGTGCCTGCCTCCTGGCAGGTGATGGCGTACCCACTGAGGACCTGGCAGCACAGCTCCTCCTGGCCTTTGGGGTCCCAGGTGACACACCGATCAAACATACAGTTCCTGGGGGGGCAGCAGGGACAGTCGAGGGTGAGGAGGAGAGAGGAACACTCAGCCCTGTAGCATAAGGCCTTGAAAGCCCCAACAGAAAGACATCAGGCAGTGTGGGGCAGGGGTCACGAGGAATGGAAGGGACAAAGATAGAAGCCAGACAAACAGGGAAAGTCAGAGACAGGCAGCAGGACCAGGAGAAAAGGAGTTCCCCGTGTCCCGGGCCCCTGACTCACTCCTGGAAGGGCTCTGGGGCCACAGTCTGGTGACAGGCAGCAAAGGGGCCCAGGGGGGCCACCAGCACCCTACACGCCCAGGTGCTGTTGATGAGCCTCTGGTGCTCCGGGCTGCATCCTGACACATCGGAGCCCGGCTTTTCTTCTCTGTACTCCTCCTCTTGGATGGCCCTGGGGCTGAGAGAGCCAAGGGCCAGGGGAGGCACCCGAAGGCTCATGAATTTAGGAAGAACTGAGAGTGTGGGGGGAGGGCCTAGGCACAGACTGGGATCCAGATGGCAGGTGCCCCCCACAGGATTAGGGGAACCCGGCAAGTGCGTCTGGGCACTTGCCTGTGGGTTTCCTCTTCTGCTGAGGATATGGGGGTGGGTAGGGTGTGGACAGATACCGGGCTGTTTGTTGCTCATGCCCCAGGGGCTGGGCCTCCTTGCCCTGAGCCGCAGCCTTCTCACCTGGAGAAGTGGGGAAGGCCTCCCTTGATCTCCACCTCCCAACTGTTGCCGAAGTCGCTGAGGTTCTGAGTGAGGGAGCCATTGGGCAGCATAAACTCATTCTTCTGGTTCCTGTCAAAGTTCCCGCACAGGCCACGCACAAGCCCCTGGTACGTGCTGGGCAGGGAGATCGCTGCAGGAGGAAGGGAACATCCAAAGCAAGACTGCCCACCTCTCTGCCTTCTCACACCTCCGGGGGCCTCCACTGGAGCTCAGCACCCCTCTCCCAGGCAGGGGTCCTCTCACCATGCTTGTTCTGTCTGAGGTGTGGTCCTGCCCACCCCATCTCAGAAACGCCCCCTCTGCCCTCAGGCCTCTAGCCTCCAGTACCTGCACTGTTCCTTCCATCAAAGCTGACAACCAGCTCAAAGTCAGTGATCAGATACAGTCGATGGCCCCGAGTGGTAACCAGCAGATGCTCATCGGGGTTGTAGGGGGTGGCCGTCTTCTGGCCGTTGACCTGGAGAAGGAAGACAGGAGTCTCGGGGAGTCACGTCTACCTGCCCCGCTGCCGCTGTGGCTCCGCCTCTCTCGGTGCATCTCAGCGCCCCCTTCTGTCACCATTCCGTGGAATGAGATGCCCCAGTAGGCTTCACCATCTACGTGGCAAAGGCCTCCCCGAGATCTACTGCCTTTGCAGCCCTAGCTCTTTCCTTGCAAAAACATTGGCAGAGTCAGCGCCCCTGGTACCTCCTCAGCCAGCTCCACCTTCACACAGGCTCTCTCCTCCTCTCTTGTCCCCTGTCTCCTTCCAGCCTTTTGCTTAATCCCATGGTGTGAGTGTGACACTAACTCTGACTTCTATAACCAGGCAGCCACTGTCAGGAACTTCCCGGGGGACTCGGAGTCCTGGCTCCGCCTGCTCCAGGCGGCCTCCCATGGCCCAGGCTGCCTCCCCAGAACCTCCCGGCCTGGCCCAGCTCTTACCACAAGCTGCAGTTCAGCCTGCAGCTGGACTGTGTAGCCGTAGACCATCACGATGATTTCATGCAGGAAGATCAGGCTGAGCGGCATGGACATTTTGTTGCGTCCCTCCACGACCAGGCGTGCCACGCCACTGGGGAGCCCGTCCACGGTCTTGATCAGAGTGTAGGTCATGTGGCCCTGGAAGCGGTATCTGAGGCCATCAAATGTGCGGTAATGGGGATCTCCGAGAACTGAGCATTGTTCCGACTCTGCTGAGAAGGGCCAACACTGAGAAGGCACCCTGTCCTGCTACATGCCCCCCCAGAGCCCCTCACCCACCCTGCTGTCTCCTGTCCCTCTCCCTCTTAGCCCTAAGCTCCCCTGATACTTGAGCCACAACGTTCCTCTCCCCCAGCCCCATTAAAAACCAGAGAGGATCTCCTCGTCCACTTTCCTCTTTTGCCCCTCACGGATGGAATCCCAGAGAGGGTCATGACTTGCAGGCAGGCACAAAGCTGGGGAGACTCAGGATGAGAACCCAGGCCCACCCCACGCCTGAGCTCAGCCCCTCCTCTCTAGAGCATCCCAGCCTCAGCCTCTCTGGCTCCACCTCTCCCACCTCCACACATACCTCTCTTACTGTGGGGGACGCATCTGCTCTTGCCACTGGAGCTGGGCTGGCAGTGGGAGCCCGGGGGGCAGAGGAAGGGACGACACTGAATGGCTCCTGCTCTGCAGGTGCAGTTCTGGGTGCAGTCGATGGACAGCCAGGTTTTCCCTGCCTGTGGAAGCCACAGGAAGCCCCAGGGAGTGAGGAGGGAAGCGCCAGTTCTCCTTCCTCTCCCCTTCAGCCCAAGCCAGCAGTCTGAATGGCTTAATGGGCCAGGCCAGAGGCAGGTAGGGAGCCATCTTCACACATTTGTCTCCCACCACCTCCTATAGGCATTGTGCTTGGTGTCTCACACACACTGTTCTCGAGGTTGCTCAGCAGGTAACTACTGGACCCTCCGTCCAGATGAGGACACTGAGGAGACACAGTCCCCTGAGGGCACCATCAGGATTCAAACCAAGGCTGTGCTCCTCCACTGCACTGTACAGCATCCCAGGTTTTGGATTCCTCAGATCCAAACCCAAGCCACACCCTCCCAGCCCAGGCCTGGCTGGAGCCCACCCTGCCCTGTCACCAGCCTTCACACCCCAGGCCGCTAAAGGCTGAGGAAAGGAAAAAGTGCCATCCTCAAGGTGTGTGGACCCCACCCTAACTTCTGTTCCCCACTCACAGGGAAGAAGCGGCCCCGGGCATCCCAGCAGCCACACTGAGCCCTGGGCACACACTGCTGCTCCCTGAGCAGGTAGCCAGGCTGGCAAATGCAGCCCTCCTCGCAGGGGGAGGGGACTTCGGCATCCTTGCACTGGCCTTCCGGGTCCCAGCAGGAAGGTGAGCAGGGAGGAATGCAGGTCGTGTAGGTGCTGTAGGGGGGGCATTCCAGAGCTGGGCGGGGGGAGGAGGGGGAGAGAGAAAGACTTAGTGAGCGTGGGGGAGGCCTCTGTGCCAGGGCCGGGGGAAGAAAGGCAGAAAGGGCTCTCCTGCTTCAGCCTGGGAGACAAAGGTCAGCCAGCAGCTCCCACAGGGCCTTGATGTGTGTGGTCGGCGAGTGTGTGGCGGGCCTGTGTGTTCGAGGCGCATAGGGGCATGGAGCAGGGGGCTGCTCACTCTGTTGGAGGAGTTAAATCAAGCCCTTTAGGCAAAAGCAGTTGAGAACAAAGGGGAGTATTCGCGGGCAGCAGTCTGCACGATTCCCTAAGTTAATTTATACATTTAAATGAGCCTAATAAAACACACCAAAAAGATTTTTGTAATGTTTTCTAATAAGACAAGATGATATTAAAGTGGAGTTGAAGATATAAACAAACCAGAAGAGCTAAGAAATCTTTTCTTTGTAAAAAGGAAAAAGCAGTGGGTAGTGACTGTCCCTACCAGAAATTATGACACATTTTAAACTTTCAATGATCACAACATTGTTACAAGTAAGTAAAGACAGATGGGAACATGAAAGAGGAGAGAAAGCCCATATAAAAACCCAAATACATGTGGGAATTTAGTATATGATAAATTATGGCATTTCAGTCAGCGGGAAAAGAGAGACTGGTCATTTAGTAATGCTGAGAAAAAATAAAGCCCAAGTTGATTCACATCTTACACTATATACCAGGATAAATTCCTGTGGATCAAAAAATTTCCTAAAATATAATAAAACCATAGAAATACTAGAGCAAAGCATGGGCAGCTTCTGCCTAAACTTCAGAGGGGGAGGCATTTGTAACCGTGGCTCAAAATGCAGCAGCCATAAGACAAACTAACAGATTTGACCACACGAACTATATATAAATTCTTTCTGCATGGCAAGAAAAGAGTCAAAGATAAAAAACTGGAAAATTTTTTGTGGCTCGTAGCACTAGTAAAGAGCTACTCTGTGTAATAGACAAAAGAACTTGTAAAAAATGGTTCGAAAAGACCAACAACCCAGTGGAAAACTGGTGAATGGGTATGAAGAGATAGTTCACAGAAAGGGGAATTCATATGGCTCCTAAATATATGAAAGAATGCGTGATCTCACTCAGAATAGGAAAAATGCAAATTAAGACTCTTCTTATTTTTCAGACTGGCAAACATTCAAAAGTGTAAGAATGCTCTGCGCTGATGAAGCTGTGGGGAAATGGACATTCATACGTTGCTGGCAGGAATGTAAATTCCTCAACCCCTGGGAAAAGCGAACTGGCAACATCCCTCAAAAGTACAAATGCACAGCGTCCCTGACCCAACAATTCCACATCTAGGAATTTCCCCTACGCACGTGTGTGGCACACACACAGAAAATCATGGCTGTGTAAGGCTATCCACCGCAGCATGTGGTCGGGGTGACAAATGCAGCCCTCCTCACAGGTGCAAAGGACTTTGGTGTCCTTCCACCGCCTTCCAGGCCCCAGGAGAAAGGTAAGCAAAAGGGACACAGGTTGTGGAGGTGCTGTGGGCAGGGCATTCCGGAGCCGGGGGTGAGAAGGGGGGGAGAGAGACTCAGTGATTGTGGGGTCCGTGCCAGGGCCCGAGGGAAGAGAGGAAGAAGAATGGCTGTCCCAGGGCGGAACGGGAGACAAAAGGCCAGAAACAACTAGAAAGTCCATGGATGGGAGACTAGTTAAATAAATTATGAAAAATGAAGTATGGTATCATAATGGAATATCACTCAGCGCAAAACAAGATGAGACATGGCTCTCTGACATGGAGGAGAGTATCTGATGTGGTAGGGGTCTCCAAGCCAGATTGTCAAATGAATAAAAACTAAAGTGCAAAATCCTGTGTCTCAAACGCTGTTCTCGGAAAAATAAAGAAAGTAAATCTGCATTTGTCTGTATGTGCCTAAATAGAGGACCTTTGGAAAGAGACTGAGATTCTGATCCCAGCAGGCTGGAAACTGGACCCGTGGGGCCAGGATGGGAGGCAGACTTTTCACTGGGACTCTTTTCATAGTTTTAAAGTTTTTGAACCATATGAATGTATCACATAGTGAGAACATTTTAAGCACTGTTTTAAAATTTAGAAGGTTCAGGAGTTAGATAGTGGCAATGGTTGCAGAATCTTGTGAAGATCCTAAAAGCCAGGGAATTGTACACTTTAAAAGGGGTGAATATTATGGTATGTAACTTTTTTTTAATATAAAGGAAGGAGCTACCGAAGGATGCCTAGCAGTCTGCCAGGAGGAGAACTTTCCAGGTGCAAGGAGCAGCATATATAAAGGGAGGGACAGGCGTGGAACAGCAAGGTCTGCATGGGGAATGGGGTCTTTTGGTGCAGGTGACAGCAGGCGCACAGGAAAGGGGCGAGCGAGGAGAGGCTGGGACAGTGCACAGGCTGTTGTGCATTTTAGACAAGGGCTTGGACTGAATCTTGCAGGCAATAGCCATGCAGGGGAGTAACAGGATCATACATCCCTTGGAAAGACAGTGTTAGCAAAGTAGATGAGAGGCAGCCCGTGCTGTCCTGGTGGGAGGGGTACTGGCTCAGAGGTTATTGTAACACTACTGTCAGAGACACTGAGGTCAGAAACAGGTCAGAAATAATCAGAAAGGAAAACGGCAGTTTTAAGAGATCCACAGACAGAACCAGGGTTTGGGAGCTATTTGGGGCAGTAGGGGACACTCACGGCAGAAACTGCTGTTTCTCCAGATTGGGGGCTTGAGCCCCTGGGCCCGGCAGGCGGCCCCAAAGGCCTGCAGAGACACGCAGAGGGCATTGTGTAGACCTCTAAACTCACAGAGGTTGAGCACACAGCGAAGCAGAAAGGGCTTAGGGCCCACGTGGGTGGCACACTCGGCCCAGGCCGGAGCCTGAAACGCCACGTGGCATTGCTCCTGAGCTCTTGCTAGGTGATCAGGCCTGCAGTTTGCAGTTAGCTCCTCCTGGTCTTCTCTTTTGGTCTTCATCTGCTCATCTTGTTGGCAACTGGTAAGGGAAAGAGATCATCACAGGGACAGCCACTGGCCCAGCTATGGAAATGATGTGGCGCTCCCGAGTGACCCTGAAGATGCCTCTTGTCTTCACTGGGAAGCTGATCTGAGCTCTGGCCACCTTCCATGCAGCCTTGGTTCCCTCCCGTGCTTTGAAACCAAAAAAGGAAGACTTTTATGTTTCCCCAGATAGATTCCCAGCCCCCAGAAGCCATTCCTGGTAAGTTGCACGCATAAAGGAGGTGCTCTGATCTCCCTAGCCCAGGCATGCCACGTGATCTAGAATGCCAGCTTGTGTTTCTATGGAAAGGCAGAAAGATATGGGGACAATTACGTTGGGTTGGCCTCCTTATCTTGCCAACTGTCCACAAATTCAGTATCATTCTGAGCTAGTTCGTCACTAGGCATCATGAGGTCATCCTCTTCCTCACCATTGAAGTTCCCGCACATGCCACAGACCTGGGTGGGCAGAGGGGAGTCTCAGGATTCAGGGTGGGGGGCAGGAGAGCATTTCTCACTGGCACCCCCTTTTCTACTCTAAGGACAAAGGAGCACTCGGTACTCCTCTGCTGTTCTGAGGAGTGACTTCTTGGGTCTAGGGCCCCACCCCTTGCAGGGGGGCTGAGTCCCTTGGGAGAAGACAGGTGTTTTACTCACCTTTCCATAATAGACTCTAGGGAGTTCGATCTCTAAGAACCCACTGCCGTCAAACTTGACTTGTAGCCCAGTGTAAACACTGAGAACAGTGTAAATGCCACTTGCAGAGATGCTGACACCCCGGACCTTGTTGGTGGAGGGAAGGGTGAACTGCTTGCCATTGATCTGCAGAGGAAGGTGGGGCATGTGAGTAGGAAGAAGGACCAGAACCTCTCCCCAGCACTCGCTTCCTTTGTCCCAGCCCCTGCCACCCAGCTCACCAGCACACGGTGGCCCTTTTGCAAGATGATCAGGGAATCAAAGATGTTAATGTTGACCTGGCGGAGGTACAAAGCAGGGGACTGGTCTTCCCTCCTCCCATTCTCGCCACTGATCTTGAAGAAAGGCAGGTCCATGGTGAAGTGGCACGTTTTCACCAGGACGTAGGTGCAGGTGCTCCTGATGGCGTGGTAACTGCCATCGAAGCTCACATAATGGGAGGTGTCTGAGATCCGGCACACTCCCATACCTGCAGGAGAGAGAGGTAGCTGAGGAATGCTCTTCCTCTGTCAAGAATAGGCATTCTCCCCATCTTCAAGGAAAAGATGTGAAGGCGAGGGGGCTTCTAAAGGGAAGGAAGACAAAGAAAAGAATCAAGACAAAAAGCTCCAGCTGGTGTGAGGCTTGTGGGTGGAACAGGTATTATCTTGCCAAGGAGACTTCTAATGGCCCATCCCCTATGGAGAACCAGGAGTGACTCCAAGGAGCCCTTCCTGACAGATAGGGCAGTGGTCACCTTTCCAACCAGAAGCTCTTTGGTACGGCAGGGCCACAGACCGGAGTGCCACAGATGGCAGTGAGGAGAGCATGAGGGGAAACGGGAGAGCTCGTTTTGTTGGCTGTGAGGTCTCCTGCATGCTCAGGGGCCTCATACCTGCAGTGCGGCAGCGGATCAGCCCATCCAGGGGCCCGCACTTTTGGCTAGGCTTGCAGGATGTCTGGATGCAGGAGATGTTGTTGTAGGTGGAGCAGGAGCAGAGCCTGGAGCAGGTGTTGTCCGTGTACCAGCTGTCCCCAACCTGCGGGGTGTGGGCATGCAAGAGACTTGGAAACCAGAGATAGACTGGGTGCCCACCACCCTGAACTCTGCATGAGGCTAGCTTTACTCAGCAATTACCTCCGTCGCTACCGTCTCTCAGCTTGCTCTTCAGCCCCCAGCACTGGTCTGCCTACCCTTTCTGCCCCCTAACCTGTAGACATTGGAAGGGCAGGGCACCCCTTGTGCTCTGGCCTCTCACCGGGTAGTAGGAGCCCTCGGGGTCAGTGCAGCCACACTGGCTGAGGGGCACACAGGAGGTTCCACTCAGGACGTAGCCTTTTTGGCACTCACAGCCCTCGACACAGGGCAGTGCTGCCGGGCAATCCCGTGGGGGGCTCAGGCTGAGGCAGGTGGCTGGGCAAGGGTTGGCACAGGGGCTGTAGCTGCTGCCAGATGGGCACTTCAGAGCTAAAAAGAAACTAGCGTTAGGAAGGGCTGAGTGATTTCCAGCTCCCTGACCTTGGGGCATGAAGAATGTTTATCAGATGAATGCATAAACAAAATGGGGTCAATCCATACCATGGAATATGATTCAGCCTTAAAAAGAAGGAAATTCTGACATGTGCTACACAACATGGATGAACCTCGAGTACACTGTGCTGAGTGAAACCAGCCAGTCACAGAAAGACAAACACTGTGTGAGCACACTCACATGAGCTCCCTGGACTGGTCAAATTCGTAGAGACAGAGAGGAGAATGGTGGGTGCCCAGAGCTAGGGTGGGAGGAATGGGGATTTAGTGTTTACTGGGGACAGAGTTTCAGTTTAGGAAAACAGGAAAGTCCTGGAGGTGAATGGTGGTGATGGTTGCACGATACTGTGAGTGTGTTTAATGCTATAGAACTGGATGCTTAAAAGTCTCTTAAATGGGCAATTTCACATTATATATATTTTACAATTAAGCAAAAAAAGTTCCTGGGACAGAGGAAGAAAGGGAACAGGTAAGAGGGGAAAGATGCAGTGACCAAAGGAGGGCAGACCGTTTTGGATGATGTGAGAATCAGCTGGAGCAGCTCCCAGTGCAAGGAGACAAGGAGAGGGTGGGGGTTGGGCTTGGAGAGACTGGAAAGTGGAGAACAGAGGAGGCCCCCTGTGGGGGCTGAGGACCAGGCTAGGAGGGAAGAACCTAGGAACAGAACTTAGGGAAAGGAGGAGAGGACAAGGTTGGGGAGACTCCTCCACACTGCAGAAGTGCCGGCCAGGTCACTCACGGCAGAAGGTGCTGTTCCGCCAGGCAGGGGCCCGGCCGGCCTCAGCACACAGGGATGCGTAGGCCTGCAGGGAGCGGCACAGGGTCAGGGTGTCGCCCTTGGTCCCGCACTGGCCGTTCACACAACTGGTGAAGCTGGAGTGTGGGGGTACCACCTCGTGGCACTGGGAGAAAGGTCCTGGAGGATAAAACCACAGGTGCGTGAGAGAAGAGCAGAAGCCTGGGAAGGGAGCAGAACCAGGCAGCTGCTTGGGGCAAATTCAACATCCATTTCCTGTATTTACTGAGAACCTGCTCCCTGAGATGCAAATAAAAAAGGCTTATCCATCAGGCTCCCAAGAAGTGCACACTACCTCTGCATTTCCACCCGTCTTCCTCCCGACTTTCTGTCTATTTCATGTCTCACTCTTTCTCCTTCCCTGACCAGTCCCCCTCCCCTTTCTCCACCCTGGGGGGAGAGGGGGCCAGCAGAGGATGAGGCTTACCCAGAGGGTTGGTTAAGATATCACAGTTTTTATCCCAGGTGTGTTCCACTTCATTCCCCTGGCATCTAGGAGGTTTGCCACCCTCAAAGAAGCAGCTAAACAAAAAAGAGGGGGAAAGGATAGGAATTTAGGGTTGGAGGAAGCTTCCCCCAAATTGAAACAAAGGTGGAGAGAAAAACAGGGATGTAAGTAAGGACAGGAGAAATGAACGAAGTGGTGCCCTCAAGTAGAAGGTCAGAAGATACAGCAGGAAGGAAGACGGTTAGATCTCAGTAGAGACTGCCCAAAAGGGTTCTCCAAAGACTTAGATCAGTAAGCACAGGAGAAATTGGCATCAGGGGCATCAAATCCAGTCTCGGAGAGATTGGGGACACGCAGAGGATGCTGCAGGCGGCCTGCTGAGCACTTCCCCAGGTCTGCCTCCCCATGCCTGGCACCCCCTGTTCCCAGCTCACCCGGGTTCAGAGTATTCTTTTGACTTCCAGGAAACTCCCAGTTGGATGGAGTTGGTTGCAGGCTTTTCATCTGGTTTCAGATTGTCATCTAAGCTGTTGTTGTTGTAGTTTCCTGGAGGAAGGAGCAGTTAACAGAGGCCACAGAAGTACCCTGCAAGCAGACCCAGCCCCAGGACTGGGTCTTTCCCCAAGAGGCCCTGTCACTCTATACTCCACAGGCCAAGGTTAACTTTTTCTTCACCTTGAGCTTCCCTTAACACCTACCCTCATACCCAACACCCTCCACCTATGAAGCGGTGGACCAGTGCTTAGGACGTGTGTATGAAGAGCGTGTATGAGCAAGGACTGGGAAGGCTCCTTCCTGTTGTCCTGGCTTTTCCAGCAGGTGCCCAAGGAACTTACCACACAGCCCACAGAGCCGGCCAGCGTAGGTGGAGGGTACTGTCACTTTGACCAGGTGGTGCCCATCATAGCGAACTTGAAGGCCAAAGTCAGTGTAGAGGAGAATGAAGGAGCCACTGAGCCTAATGCTTAACCGACCTTGTGCAGGCCATACAGGCAGGGCCACCTGGCGACCATTCAGCTACAAAGGCAGGGAGGACATTGTAGGGAAAGGCATTTGGAACAAGGGCAAAAACAGGACCAAGGCCAGGGAGCAGGAAAGGGGCAGAGGGTGTGTCTCGGGAACTGGGGCTGGATCTGCTGCGGGGAACTGCCCTGGGGTCCAGAAGCCAGACAGGTAGGTCTGCAGCAAGGACGGACAGAGCAGAGGTTCTGCACAGGCTGCTGGTGTGGGGCCCTGGGGTGGTAGGCAGAGGCACGCACCACAACCTTGTGGCCTTTGATCAGTGAGATTCTGAGGTTGAAGACCTTCACGTGGACAGCTTTCACGTAGGAGACCTCCAAGTTCCCACCTTGGAATTCGTTGGTGGTGCTCACGAGAAAGTGGTTGTCGAGGGACCATGACCAGCAAGGCTGTGTCAGGGTGTAGCTGCAGGTGCCCATGAAGTGGTGCAGGGCTCCATCGAAGGTCTGGTAGTGGGGATCCCCCGAGACAGTGCAGGTGGCAGACCCTGCAAAGGAGGAGATGGAGTTTGGAGGCGCATTGACCCGGAGGTGCTATCTGGTGAGTCCACACTGGGGTGGTCCCCAGAGCTCATCAGGTGGTCAGCTTGGCTTAGAGAGGTCAAGAACAGGACTGCCCCAACCTCACTCTCTGGGTCCTTGAAGACAATGCTCTGGTTTTGCCCTCCAGCCCTTGGATGTGCTATGCTCCAGCTCTCTGAGGAGCCCGCTTCAGGGCAAGGCCATGCCCTTACATGAGGCTGCAGGGGCAGCCCCCCGCTCACCTTCCACCTGACTGCTCACCCTGAGCATGGCAGCCATAGATGCCATCCTGCTGACCACAGACTTCCTGGGCCTGGCACCTCCAGAGTACACAGCGAAATCTGTTGTTGCCCTCACAGACACAGAGCTCTCTGCAGCCTGCTTTGAACCACTTCTGCTGTACCTGAGGGAAGAAAGGAAGGAAGAAAAAGATGTCATTCCCAGATCTGACAATTAGCCCACAGCTATTCAGATCATTGGCTTGCTCATTGAGAAGGAATCTCTGTCTTCCCAAAGCTCCAGGGTTAGTTGCAAAAGTCTGGTATTCACTCATTTATTCAATCATTCCATCATCTGTCTGTTCCTTCACTATTTCAACAGAATGTATATATGCCTGGTGCCAGTCATTGGGAATTCAATAATGAACTGGATGGATGATGTCCCTGCCCTAAGAGAACTCATGATGCAGAGTGGGGCAGCAAACAAGTAAACATAGATCATGTGCCCCAACACGATATGCACCCGAAGAAGACAAGCAACAAGCAGGGCGCCTGGTGAGAGTCTCCTGCCATCAACACAGACAGTAAGTGCTTGCTACAAACGTTTAGAGGTCTGCTTTCTGACTTTGCCTATCAAGAAGGCTTCAAGAAGGAGGCAGCATTTCAACAGGGCCTCAAAGGAGGTGAAGAATTCTGACAGGTGTGGGTGGCTGGGTGCCTGAGAGCAGGTGAAAGGGGCTTAAAAGAAGGTGGAATTGATAATAGAGCAAGGCATGGACAGAAAGTCTTCAGAGGGCCTGGAATGGGGGCTGAGGGGAAGAGATTCCAGAGGACCTCAGGTGGTAGATGGCTTTGACAGACATCGGTGTAGTTTCTAGGACTTGGCTGAGGAACAAGCAAAGAAAGAAGAGAGAAGTGACATCAACGAGAGTCTGGCTCCAAATACTGCCCCTGAGAAAACTGTGAAACTGGGGCCAGGATGGAACCCGAGTCCTTCGGCAGAGAAAGGGGCCTTGATAGGGGAGAAGGTGGTGTTTGGAAAGAGTTCAGGGGAGACGCAGATGAAGAAAATGACTCAGGGACATAGGGGCAGAGAAGATGGGAGGGAAGAGAAACGGGTCTCAGGCTCTGCCAGGTAGTGTTAGCAATGACTGCTATGATCCCATCCGTGTCTGAGTGAAAATTGCTAGAGCTGAAGAAAGACAAAGGGAAAGGATACCTGGGCCAGAATTTCCCTAATCCCAGCCCTACAGGCCCTGCCACACCTCCTTCTCTCTTACTGCAGACTTCAGATCCTGGAGGAGGGCTTTCTGGCTGCATGGCTAAGAGGCCCCGCCCCAGCAGCTCACCATGAGGTAGTGGCCGGTGGAGTCCACGCACCCACACTGGGATCGGGGCACGCACTGGAGACCGCTGAGGACGAAGCCAGGGTTGCACTCACAGCCCTCCACACATCGGTTTCGGCAGGACATGCCAGAGAAACTTGAATGGCAGGTGTCAGGGCACATGTTGGCACACATGGTGTACTTGCTGTTGGGTGGGCAGTCCAGAGCTGGGGTAGGGAGAAGCACAGGTGAGAAGCACGTGAGGCAGGCTGAGGACAAGAGAAAGAAGGTCTGTAGCTAGTTCGTAGCCCAGAGTTCAGACGGTCTCGGCTAGAGGCTTCTGTCCCATGTTGAGAAGAAGAGAGGGAGTGGGAGAAGCATGACTGAAGAGCTCAGCTTCTACACTGGGCCTGAAGGAGAGACCTGTAGGGAGCTACCAAGAAGCAGGTCCATGGGAGCGGACTGATCAAGAACCTCCACACTGCTGCTATGTAAACATGCCCAAGCTACATGGTCAAGGTGGAAGTAACACTGGGGAAGCACCCATGGGGCCTCAGTTAAGGGCATGGCCCTGCCCTAAAGCAGGCTCCCCAGAGGGCTGGGCCATGCTTAGCAGCTGTGCGTCAGTGATGGTGCAACACCCCCAGCCACAAGTCTGTATTTCATGTGTGCATCAGGCAACCTGGGCAGGCAGTGTCCTTGTCTGCATAGCCTCAGGCAGCTGGGGAGACGTGCTGAGTTTACAAGTGACTGATTTTCTCAGTGGACATTTCTGACTCTGCAGATTTCCCTGTCCACGTGTGGAAGGGAAAGGGTTCCATCAGGAACCCCAAGCCTGTGCTAACTCTCTTAGATGCTGGCCCTCTGCTCTCATATGCATCTGAAGGAAGCATCCCCGCAACTCTGCTCCTCGGGGCAACTCACGGCAGAACTGGGGTTCTCTCCAGGGCTTCACCCCGTAGCCAGCATCCTGGCAGGTCTCAGTCAAGGCTGCCATATGAGCACACAGCATCTGCTGCAGCCCCTGGAAGTTACACATGTCAAGCACACAGTTGTTGAGGAAGACAGAAGCCATGAGGTGAGGCAGGCACGCCCTGTGGAGAAAGGCCAGGTCAGAGGGTCTGAGGGGACAGAGAAGGTAGAGCACCCTGCCTCAGAGGACTCCAGGTGCCAAGCCTCCCCCCACCCACACACACCCATCCTGCCTCCTTTCATACTCAAAGGCTCCATGGAAGACCACAAGTCGTCCACAGAACTCTGGCCCCGATAGAGTGTTCTGCAAGGTTGAGTTACAAGATGGGGGATTTGCCTTGTTCTTCTGGCACCTAGAAGAGATCCACCCCAAATGCCCTAAAGGTCAAGTCTTGCCTCTTTTTGGCCCCTACCCTAGCAGTCCCCCCGGCTCTCAGCAACCCCTAGTGGAGAACATTTGAACACCAAGCCCTAAAGGAGAAGGGAAAACATGAGCTGGACAAGCAAGACCAGGGTCTCCTCGTGACTGCCTGAGGATCACTGATGGTAGGGGAGAACATGTTGGTAACGAGTTCATAGACATGGCTGGGACAGAAGTGGGGGTGTGTAGAGGAAGAGGGGAGAATAGCGATGATGCCAGGCAGGGTGTTTGGTTCTTAAAAGGGGCAAAGGAGCAGAAGGGCAGTGACAGAGCAGGGGACGTCCTCACTCCTTGTTCACATCCTCCTTGGTCTGCCAGCTGACGGCTAGCTCGTCCTCATCCCGTGCAGGCCTACCATCAGGCATCTGGTTGTCATTGCTACTGTTGCCGTCATAGTTGCCACAGAGACCACAGACTTTGCTATAGTAGGTGCTGCAGGGGGCAGGGCGAGGAGGCAGCGTTAATGGAAAGAAGGGGCCTTAGTCATCTGAGGCACCACAGCAGAGTGGGATGAGTGAGACGCGCAGAGAAGTAAGAGGTGCAGACTCAGATTTGGGTTCCGTGCCAGGTGCCAGGCACACCAGGACCTCACAGCCCCCTGCCTGGAGCTGTCTTTACGATCTCCCCTCCTTTCCTTCTTCTGCTCTCGCTCACCTTCCAGCCATAACAAACCTTTTGCTGGCCCTAAGACATTCCAGCTTTTTCTTGAATTTGCTGTTCACTATTTCTATAAAGCTGTAGTTCCCTTATGAACTGCTCTTCCTCGAAGACTGAGATCAAGTGATCACTCTTCTGAAAGCACCCACAGTCCATTAGTGACCCCTTTTAGCACACTCCCAGAGCATAGTGAGTATATCCTGATATTATCCATAGCCCTGAAACCCTTTCCTCCTGTCTCCCCATCGAAAGGGGAGGCCTGCCAGTCAAGCTAGGTGCTTGACTAGTGCTAGGTGCTAGTCCTACCTAGACTGGGAATTAGTCCCTGGAATGGAAGCTAAAGATGACTCGTCTGCAGCCCTAGCACCCTAAATGCGCTCACCTGATCTACAAAGCTAAGAGGATTGGACAGTCCTGGGAGAGGGAGGGGCAGAGCGGGAGAAGTGGCAGCAGCCTCACCTGGGCACAGTCATAAACAGCTGCTGGTCACCATCCCATCTCACCCTCAAACCAAACGCAGTCTGCAGCTCCACAAATCGCCCACTTGAAGCCAGGAAGATGCCTTGAAAAGGTATGGATGGGAGGGTGACTTGTTGACCCCCAACCTGGAAAAGTGGGGCCAAGGAAAGAGACTGAGAGATGGATCTGAGGGCCAGAAGGCCCTGCAGAAGATGCTAATATCCACCCTCCATAGCAAACCTAAAGACCTCTTCCCTTGGAGTGCTCTGGAGCCTATCCCTGAGAGGCCCTGCAGGCGGCAGGAACTGGCCAGGAGAAGGCTGCAGTAGCCCACAGGTGGCCCCAGCAGAGCTGAGCAAAAACTGGACTCACCAGAGTGCGCCTGTCCTTGAGCAGGGTGACGGTGGTCTGAGGCAGCGTCACGTAGACTTCACTCAGGCAAGACGTGCCTTCCTGCATTCGTTCCTCATTCTTCACCACCACCCTGAAGAAGGGCTCTGTTTGGGGAGAAGAGTAAAGAGCACCCAGGGATTCATTCAACAGCATTTCTGAGCACCCACTGAGGGAGGCACCCATGTCTGGCACCGTGGGGATAAAGGACCACAGAGATGCCAGCTGCAGTTCAAGAGGGAAGCCCAGACCCACATGTGAGTGGGGCGTAACTGCCTGCCTCTTCCACAACTGTCTGACATGGCATGCAGCCAATCCAGCTCCCCTCAGGACTGGGATGTCCTCCGGGGTGGAGGTTTGTGCTGCTTCTCTTGTCTCTTTATTGCCACTGTGTGAGGTGAGCCTCTAAATAAAAGCTAGCCAAGGAAGCAACTGATAAAGAAAAGTGTCTTAAGATGCAATTTCCCCAGTAGCCTGATCTTGAGAAAGTCCTGCTTCTGGGGTGAACATGTCAAGCCTTACTTTCTTGCCTTTCCTATTTGCTCCCATTCCCACCTATTCTGTCAGACCCCTCACCCAAGCCTTGGGAGCATTGCCGGGACCCTACCTGTCGAGTTGCCACAGGATTGGGCCAAGATGTAGGTGCATCTGCCCATGAAGCTAAAGTGCCTCCGGTCAAAGGTGAGATAATGAGGATCTCCATAGACAAAGCAGGTGGCAGTGCCTGCCAAAAGAAGAAAGGGGTCCACAGAAGAGGGTTCACCAGGCCAGATAGCCACCTCGCCCAGCCAGTTGCACACCCCGGCTTCTCTTATCAGGGGACTGATTGGAACCTTGGCGTCACACCCACTCTGAAGGGCTGGCAGGTGGGGACAGAATGAGGGAAGGGTCTCACCATGGGGGTGACATCCGTACTGGTTGTTCTGCAGCTGGCACACGGTGTGTGTCCCACACTGAGAGGTCAGGCACTCCACCCGACTGCCCGGCTGGCAGTGACAGCGTTCTGTGCAGTTGGGGCCGAACCACTCTGCCCCGGGCTGAGAGCAAGGAACTGCGGGTCACAACACTACATAGCTCTTGGGTGATCCCATCATCCTGTGCTACAGCCCCCTTCTCTGCCACTGCACCTGCCCTAAACTTGCTTGCATGCTTCCTCTTCCCACCCCTTTTAGATATTCCTGCCCACCACATGCCATTTTCATGTGCTGTTCTCTCATCCTGGAATGCTCTTCCTTCTCCCTTCTTTTTAAGTTATTCCTAGGCAACCAACAAGTTCAGTTCAAGGGACACTACTTTCTTAGGAGGACTTTCCAGACTCCCTGACTAGGGGTCATCCTCATAGCTCTGGGTGCCTTTTTCTTCCCAGGAAGTACCACAGTTGCACTTTTATATTTATTTTGGGGATTATTTGATTATAATCCCCCTGTGAGGGACCATGAATATCTTTACTCACTACCTGAGCCCCAACACATAGCACAGTGCCCAGCAAAGAGCTCTCACTCAATAAATATTTGCTGAATAAAGAGTGAACCAAGATCCAATGTGTCCCAAAGAATCCGGCAGTATTAGGAGAGCAAGGACCACGCCCTGTTCATGGAGGCCCCAATGCCAGGAGGGTTCAAAGTACTCAATAAACATTTCTGAATGCAAAAGTGAATCCATAATAAGTTAATACATGTCTCCCAGGGCAGGGAAGAGATGCCTGATGCTGACAGCTACGGCAGATCTTTCTAGCCGAGCTACAGCGGAAGCTAATCCAAACACTGATGCAAGGACACCCAGGAGACTGGGTAAGAGAGGGGTGGTGGGGAGGGAGTAGCCCCCAAAGAGACAACCGCGAGGAAGAATATCTGGGGCTGAGAAGAGGCACTGTTCACTATTAAGTAGCTGAATGTTCTGTTAATTAGTAGGCTGCAAATGATAGTTATCACAAATTGCTAATAATAATAATTAACATTTATAAGTAATTGGTCTGTGTCAGGATCTAATTTTATCACACAGCCATCTGATGAAGTAGAAAATCTTATTGTGAACACTTTAGAGATATGGAAACAGATTTGAAGAGGTACAGAACTTTGCCCAAGGTGACCCAGCAAAGTGCTGGGGCCGAGATTCATGCTCAGATTGGTCTGACTCTAGGATGACTCTGTTCAAAACAGTGGCCACCAGCCACAGGGCCCACTGAGCTCTTAAAATGCGGCTGTTCCAAATTCAGATATGCAGATATGCTATAAGCATCAAACACACACTGGGTTTTTAAAGACTATTAGTATGGAAAAAAGAGAAATGTAAACAATTTTATTAACAGCTATTGATTACATGTTAAAATGAGAACATTTAGGATTGAGCAGATATTGGTATTAGTTTAACCTCTTTCCTTTTGTTTTTTGAATGTGTTCATTAGGAAACATAAAATGACATGTGGCTTGATTGCCATGCCTTTCGGACAGTGCTGGCCCAGAGCCTGTGCCTCTTCAGAGCCTGTGCTCTTGACAAAATGTCCCATGGGGCGAGGGTGGGGGACATCAGTGAAGGAAGACAAGAACAGTAACTTCTCTCTTTTGATGTAGCCTGTCAGGATTTACAAGTTCCTTTGGAAAATTCTGGAATACTGTTCTACGTGCTGGACATACCAGAAGCTCTGCTCAATGTCTTCAATGTCCGGGGCTCTCTATATATCCAGGGGTCCCCCACTTTCCTCAGATTGGCGAGGAAGACCCGGCATTACCTGGTTGCTCTAGTATCTATTGCATCAAGGCTGCCAGTATGGAACAGAAGTACAGAATATCAAGACTGTTAGGACCACAGGATGATGGAATTGTCTGCATAGCCTAGCATCATGCCCTGCCAGAGAGGATACTTAACAAATATTTATTGTATGAACAGAGATGACAACGAAACCACATACTGAATGAACAACTCCACCATTGTGTAACCACTGCTTGAGAGCTGACCCCTGGGGACCGTTCCATGGATCCAAATTCACCTCACCTGGGGAGCAGATGGAACCAGAACCCAGGTGTTCCTCTAGCAATCTCCCTCAGGGGCCCTTGGGCATCCCAGTGGTCTTACCTTATAGTAATTATTGTCGTAGAAGCAGTCGCAGGAAGAGGCATTGATGCAGTGGGAGCCACTAAACAAAAAGCCAGAATTGCAGACACAGCCAGGCTTGCAGAGGAGCTCACATTTGGGCTTGGGGCTTTTGCAGGATGCCGGGCAGGCACAGCGTTCGTAATGGGCATCCGGAGGGCAGCTTGCTAAGGGGGAAACAGCCGTTATCAAGCCTCTACTCCATAGCTTTCCTCAAGGTGACTTCCCATCTCTCCTCTACCCCACATTCAAGTTCTTCTCTAAGAAGCTAATCTGCATTATTCAGCCAGAAAAAGGAATAGAGTCCTAATACAAACTACAACATGGATACACCTTGAAAGCATTATGCTAAGTAAAAGAAGCCCGTCACAAAAGAGCACGTATTATATGATTCCATCTACATGTAATATCTAGAACAGGTAAATCCATAGAGACGCCAAGTAGCTTAGTGGTTGCCAGGGCTTGGGGACTGGGGGATGGGGGGTGACTGCTAACAGGTATGGGGTTTCCTTTGAGGGTGATGAAAATGTTCTGGAATTAGAAAGTGATGATGTTTGCACAATCTTGTGAATATACTAAAACCACCAAATTGCACACTTTAAAACGATGAATATTATGGTATAGGACTTACACCTCAATTTAAAAAGTAAGAAGAAAGCCTGGTGCTTGGTTTCCAAATACCCGCACCCACCTGTGCCCTGCTGTCGCCTCGCTCAGGGTAGTCAGTCCTCATTTCTTCTAAAGTCACCACTCTGATCCATCTCTCCTCTAAGACTGCAGTTTTCTGCTAGAAGCAGCCCTTTCCCTAATACTCTCTCCTAGTCATCATCTCTTACTCTCAGCTCTTTGTCCAACAGCCACATACCTGGAGTAGGACTGGGGGTTGTAGCAGTGGCCTGGGGCACAGTGGTCATGGAGGTAGTTGGAGCACTAGGAGGCTTCACCGAGGCTGCAGGCCCAGTGGGTATAAGTGTGGTAGGAGCTGTGGGCTTTTCAGTGGGGACAGGGAGTTTCTCTGTGGGGACAGTGAGTTTTTCAGTGGGGACAGCGAGTTTTTCAGTGGGGACAGTGAGTTTTTCAGTGGGGACTGTGAGTTTTTCAGTGGGGACAGGGAGTTTCTCTGTGGGGACAGTGAATTTTTCAGTGGGGACAGTGAGTTTTTCAGTGGGGACAGTGAGTTTTTCAGTGGGGACAGGGAGTTTCTCTGTGGGGACAGGGAGTTTTCCAGCGAGGACAGTGGTTTTTTCTGTGGAGAGAGGGATCTCAGAAGGGCCAGCAGGGGGAACTGGAGGCTTAGAAGGAGGCATGGTTGGCACAGGTCCTGCAAAGAAAAAAAAAAAGCCCTGGAGTTTAGTCAAAGTCATACCATGACCCTCTTCACTCACACCTAATTGGAGTGGGTGGGGTCAAACTTATGCCTATTCCTCCTACTCCCAACCCCACCTTCACTCCATAAACACTCAACAACCACTGCTCCTTATGTATGCCAGATATCGTGCCAGATACAGATAACACAGAATGAATAGGATGCTGGGACTCCCTTCAGGATCATCGTTCCTTAAGGTGTTCTGGATCCCACCACAGAAATTCATGGCATCAAAGGCACATCACTCAGATGAGCATCCTGTTGGAGCCAGGGAGGTGGAGGTGGGCAATCACAGAAAACAAGGCTGCCTGAGGACCCAGACACAGAGACGACTTGCTTTTTAACCAGTACCTGTAGAGAAGCCCAAGTAATGGTCATCTCAGAGTAAGGCCCATTTCTGAGGTCTTGGGTTTTGTCTTACCCTGACAGGTCCCGTGATTGATCAAGATGAAGCCCACAGCAACAATGAAGGCAGTGTTGGTGCCCCTGATGGCCTCCAGTATCAGCTAAAGGTAATGAGGGAGAACGAAGGAAAAGAGAAATGAAAAGGAAACCCTGGCACCTCAGTAACTGCCAGGCAGAGAGTCTGTCTTCTGCCAAAATGTCACCTTGTTCCAACCTCATCTCTGCCCTTGTCCCTTTTCCGGAGCCGGAGAGGCTTCTCAGGAACACCAAGTTTTTTCTGCTCTGCTCTCCTTCCAGTGTCCCATCGCAGCCCTGGTTATGTCCCTGGATACTAGGCATTGTGTCCTTCTTACCATGCCCCACACAGATACTTAAAGGGCCCACTCCCTCTGTCTCTCACCTGCATAGGCTGTTGCTGTCCTGAAGGGATGGTGATGGAGGCGTTCAGCCAGCCAGGGCTCTGAGACCCAATGCGTTGCCAGAGAGAAATTAGGAAACTGCCTGCAGGACTCCCCAGAAGGAGCTTCAGCTTACTGTCCTCTCCCAGGCCATACATGTAGTAGGTAAATTCCACACAGATTGTACCGGGGGCACAGAAGGACGGGCTTACCAGTCTGAAAGACTGGCCTGCCTGGGAGAATTTGTCAGCCTCCAGGTAGATATAGTGACCTTTTGGGAAAAAGAAGGGAATAGGCAAGATGAGAAACCTCCACAGGACAAGTCTAGCACTGTTCTCTTTAGCAATACCTTGCTTTCTAAGTGGAAATTTGCTATAAATACCCAAACTCCCTTTATTGTAGTGTTTTTTTCTTGTGTGTATGTGTGTGTGTGCATGCTCACTTTGGACTTTTCTAACTGAAGATGGCAGGATCAGAAAGGAACAGAAAACCAAACCAGCAACCCAGATTCTTTTGTTGGCTGCACCAGTAAATGTCTTAACTGCAAATGAATCAGTAGATTTTGAAGCCTTGGGCTCAATGAAGTGAGATGCCTGGATTTTTGGGGGGGCTTTCAGTGACTCCACAGCCACGAGAATCCTCAATTCACTCTACCTCTGTCATCACCAAGCTCTGACCCCGTGGCACTTCCCAGTAAACACCTGCTGGCTGATCTTTACCACCTACATCTTCGTCCATCAATCACACCAACCAGCCCCCTAGCTAGGAGCAGATTCAGTATTTCATTGGCTTGAGGGGCCCACAATTTCCTCACCTTTATGAAGAGACACTCCAAAGGTATGCACTCCTTGGGTGGGCATATTTTTCCCACTCCAGGTCCAATGTCCACCAATCCCTGATATCTGGACCCAGTCACAGAAGGGATGGGCATCATCTTCAAAGTCACACTGAGGAAAGCGCTCTGGAGTATCAAAATGGGAAATTTGAGAAAATTTGGCTATCTCTCTATTCCTCCCTTATCCCACCCCTGATTCTGAGGGATTTGGGCCTCCCCGAGCCCTGCTCTTACCCCCACAGGGAGCAATGCTGATTGCATCCAATGCCACAGCTGGTTCTGGGATATTTCCAAACACGCCCACCACAATGAACTGAAGAGAGAGAAAGAGGGGGCCGGGCATGAGAAAACAGCCCAAATGCCTAACACCCCATCTGACTGTATTCTGTTCAGGGACCTAGTGCCCAGACCCTCATTGCTCCCAGTGCCCAGACCCTCATTCCACTTCAGTACTGGGAGTGCCTACTATGAGCAAGGAAACCTGCCCTCTTGCTTGACTCTACCTGAATCTGTCCCTGGCCTGTGTAATTGACAGAAACAGTCTGCCAGTTGGGTCCAGATTGTCCTGAGAAAAGAGTGTGTTTCCGGATGCTGCCTACAATGGAAGGAATCCAAGGAAGTGAGATTAAGCCAACTGGAAAATGATTTCAAACCTGTACTCAGAAGAATGAGTAGCAAAGGAAACACTTGGAGTGTATTCCCCTTCCTCAAATGCAAGCACTTCCTTCTCTCTCACCTCATAGCACTTTATTTTCCCAGAATCCAGTGCCTGCTGGCTCTCTAATTCCACTTTAACATAATCTTGCACATAGCCCAGATTTCTCTAGACCTATGTCTCCCCATCAACCCAGCCGTGGGAAATGAGCCTCAGGTCAGTGTTAAGTCCCATGACATCTCCACTCTCACCCAAGACAGAAGCATAGATGGTGAGGGCTGCACCAGGAGACTGGCCATGGAGGACGTAGTGGAAAGACAGGCTCAGACAGCCTGACGACTGGCTCAGGGGGCTCAGGAGAACAGATTTCTGCTTTGGCTTTGCATTCTTGGGGTCCAGCAGCATGTAGAAGCCATCTGTGAAGAAAAAGGTCAGTAAGGTGAGTGGCTGAAATTGGGGGAATAGGGGAGGGCAGAGGCTCTGGCTCTGGTGAGCCCCAACAGCTGCCTAGGACCAGCCAGTGCTGAGGTGGGCCTACACCCATCTCACAACTGGTTGAACCCTTCAGTCCTTCCAGAAGTGCTTCGCAGAGCTGGGTAAGGACGTGGGCGTTGCCATATGAAAAATGGCAGCCTTTCAGAAGGAACAGACAGAACCTTGTCCTTTGGGTTCTGTCTTTTTGGGTCCTCTAGAGTCATATCCTCTTACATTTGACCCACTGGACAGAGCCGACTCACACAAACTGGTAAGAGAAGGCCTGTCTGACACAGAAGGGCAGCCATCTCCCCACTTCAAGTTTACCAGCAGCTCAGTCAGCCAATCATCCTCTAAAACACTCTGTGACGCAACTAGTAGCCAGGGAAAAATTAAGGCGACCGCCAGACAGTGCGCATGCGTGCCTGCAGGTACCCGACCCTGGGTTGTGCGCTCACCGCCGGGGATGGAGGACTTTCGACAGGGAGAGAAGAGGGCTAAGGAGGGGAATGGGCAGGAATGGATGAGAAGAGAAAAGAGAAGAAACAAGAGGGCCGGTAGAATGAAAGGAAAGGAAATGGCGAATGGTGAAAGAGAAAGCAAGGAGTGGCGATACTGGAACATGTGAGAAATAGAAAAAGAAATGGGAGAAAAACACAAGGAACGGTGAAAAATGTAATTAAGTGAACAAGTTGGAAAAAAGAAAAGAGAGAAATTTTTAAAAACAACATTTGCTGAAACTGCTGTGCATGGGATACAGTGCTAAATGCTAGGGGCTGGGGACCGTGGGGCTAATACAGAGATGGGCGGGCCCTGTCCTACTCTCCAGGGGCTTAGAATGAAGGCGGCGGGCGTGGAGGTTTCTCAAGCTCTTTCTAGAAGGCAAACTTCAGACAGCAGGAAAGCTCAGGGGACTGAGAACATGGAGAGGATGGGGTGGAAAGAGCTATGGAGTAGTGGGGGAGGGAACGCTGGAGAAAAAGAAAATGAAAATAACGTGGAAGGAAGGGAAAGGATTGTGAGTGGAGAAAGGCAAAGGGAAAGAGAAGAAAGAAGAGGGAGAAACTCAAAGAGGGAATTAGTGAGTATGCTTCTCTATGTTTGACCTGAGAAGCGTGGCAGGGCATGCACTCAGTGCTGGCTAGAAGTGCATGTTGTGTGGAGCAGACTGAGAGAGGAGAAGTGGCTGGTGTGGGGGAGAGAAAAGGAGCTGAAGAGCAAGGAAGGAAGGGAGGGAGGAAGGAAGGAAGGGGAAAAAGAAGAAAGGCCCAGCCAAGAGCACAGCGAGGTGGTGGAAAAGAAGCTGTGGGCAGACACAGATGGAACAGAAGAGGAAGAAAGAGTATCTCCTGGATTATTGCAAAAGCCTCTGAAATGTCTTCCTGCATTCCCTTCAGTGGATTTTCAGTATGAAAAGCAGGTGATCCTTTTAAACATAAATCAGGTTAAGTCATTCTTCTGCTCCGAATCTGCAAAGGCATTCATGTAGAGTAAAGCCACAGTCCTGACAATGGCCTTCAAGGCTCCACATGATCTTTTCCTCCAAGGACCTGCCTGAGTTCATCCTCTCCAACCCAGCCACACGGCTCCCAGCTGAACCTCAATAGCCTCTCACCCACTACTCCCACCAGCTCACTGCTACCTCAGGGCTGTTTCACAGCTGACCCCTCTGGTCAAAATGTCCTTCTCTTCAAAAATTTCAGCCTCACTCCCTTACCTCCTTCAAGTTTGTGCTCATATGTGACCTGAGTGGGACCTACCCAACTGCCTTATTTAAACATACAGCCCACCGTACCCCTGCACATCCAGTCCCCTTACTTTATTGATTTTTTTTATGCTCACTTTATAACTGTATAACTGTACTTCTTTGTTGTTTTAGGAACTGCCCCCCTCTTGGTTCCCTGCTGCTCCTTGTCTGTTTTGTAAGCTAATGTCTCTTAAGTGCCTGGGATAGTACTGGGTACATTTTAGGTGCTCAGTAAACATTTGTTGGATGAATGAAGAATGAAGGGTTCCAGCCCTGGCTGGCGTAGCTCAGTGGATTGAGCGCGGGCTGGGAACCAAAGTGTCCCAGGTTCGATTCCCAACCAGGGTACATTCCTGGGTTGCAGGCCATAACCCCCAGCAACCGCACATTGATGTCTCTCTCTCTCTCTCTCTCTCAGGCCATAACCCCCAGCAACCGCACATTGATGTCTCTCTCTCTCTCTCTCTCCCTCCCTCCCTTCCCTCTCTAAAAATAAATAAATAAAATCTTAAAAAAAAGAATATTAAAAAAAAAAAAGAATGAAGGGTTCCAAGGAAGGGAGGTAAGGAGCAGGCTGTCCTAGGTCTGCTAGGTAGAGCTTGTGAGGTGGCAGTGGGGGGAGCTGGCTGGGACTGTGGAGTTTGCTTCTGCCAGGCAGTTCAAGCTGACAGAGGTTTGGGATTGCTTGGGTCCACCCCAGACCTTCCCAAGTTGAGTTAGTGTAGAGTTGTCAAGTAAACATCATAAACTCCTACAAGGTCACTAGAAGCCCAGGAAGTCAGAAGATAGGAGGGCGGCCATTACTCACTACCAGGGTGGGAGAAGTCATCCTCGGGGCCCACGTTTGGCACCCCTGACAACCCCTTCTTCTGGACCCACTTGGCTCCAGAGGCTGTGGGGATCCAGCTCCAGCCACAGAGATTATCTTGAGTGTCAAAGCTGCACATTTGCATCATGCAGACTGAGGGGAATAAAAAGAGAGAGGATTTAGCTTTTTCTAAGAGGACGCAGCTATGTAAAGTATGCCCGTCTGGAATCAGAATTCTGAGCCCCAATCTGGCTCCTGTGAACCCTAGAGGGCCTTCAAGCCAGCTACAGTTCCTCTCCCTAGAAGCCATGTTCCTGGCATAGATGACCTAAACTGCCCAACCCTCCATTTCCTTATTTATAAACAGGGAATGAAGCCCTGGCTGATGTAGCTCAGTGGATTGAGCGCGGGCTGTGAATCAAAGGGTCGCCAGTTCGACTTCCAGTCAGGGCACATGCCAGGTTGCGGGCCAGGTCCCCAGTGAGTGCCACGTGAGAGGCAACCACACATTGATGTTTCTCTTCCTCTCTTTTTCCCTCCCTTCTCATGCTCTAAAAATAAATAAATAAAATTTTAAAAAATAGGAATGACAGTAACCACATGTTGTAAACTAGATTATGTTCAGGAAGCATCTAGCACAGCCCCTGGATTCAGTGTCCACTCCTTGATCCAGCTTCTGGAATTTTCCTTCCCTTGAATTTGCTTCCTTCAAATGTCTAACATCTGATTAGAGGGCTAATTCCAGAAAGATCTGGTAGCAGCCAGGGTGACCAAACATTCAGGTTTACCCTGGACTGAGGGTTCCGGGAGATGGAAGACTTTCAGCACTAAAACAGGGAAAGCCCAGGGCAAACCAGAATGGTAGGTCACCCCAGGGCAGATACCACCACAACTTTATGTTAAAGGAGAACATCTCTTTAGGTGTGGCTGCTTCAGGAGTCAGAGGTACAGGGTATGAAGGTAGAGAGAAGCAAGTAGCCTCAACTTTGGCAGAAACCAGGGTCATGGTCCCTGAGCTACTTCTGCCACCCTAGGCGATGATTGGGGTGGAGAGAAAGAGGAGGGACAGGTGCTCACCCCTGCTGCAGGAGCCACGACGGATATAGATAGCATCCAGAGAGATGTCTAGGTAAGCAGTGCTGCCCGTCACTCCTTCAAATATCAGCTGTGGGAGGGAGGAGGGATCACTCAGCTGTGAGCCCCTAGTTTTCTGCCTGAATCCAGAAGGCCTAGCCACCCCACACCCCTTCATTATCCCAGTCCCTTCTGGCCTCCCCACACACCTGGATTTCCACTGGGGCCCCAGATTCTGCCCTCAGCCTCACCTGGCTGGGCAGGGCCCGGCCCGTGGGCACGGTGACAGCAGCGGGCATCCAGGAAGGGCTCTGGGTATTAAGGTGTTTCCAAAGCAGGTTGGGGTGCTTGTTCTTGGTGCCCATGAGCAGCAGCAGTTTGAGCTGGGCACCCCACGACAGGCCGAACATGTGATAGGCAAAGTGCACGCACAGGGGGCCTTGCTCCCATATGGGGGAGCTGCGCAGGCGGACCACTCCACTTGGCCGGAAGGAGCTCAAGTCCAGGTGCAGGTAGTAGCCCTCTAGGGAGGCAGAGCCCAGGACAGTGAGGCCCTGCCACCGCTATGAGCTGCCCCCAACCCTTTCCCAGAGCCCAGGCTCCCACTCCCAGCTGCCTCCCTAAACTTTAGGCTTCCTCACCTCCGTTGGGATACCCCCCAGGAGGCCCAATGCTGCCCATGGGGGAGGGTCCACTGGCTCGAATCCAGTCCCCATCATCCGTAGATACTTGAGTCCAGTCACAGAAGGGTTTGGAGTTATCCTCAAAATCACAGTGGGCTATAATGGCTGGGGGAAAAGGCCACTGTGAGGCCAGGAGAGGGGAGAGGACCAGATGCAGAGCCAAACTGGGGGTGTAGGAGCTGGCAAGACTGGTAAGCTTAGAGAGGGCGGCCACTAAGATAAGGGTCCAGAGCAGAGGTTTGGGAAAGAGAATCTGAGAATTCATCTCTTAGGAGAAATTCAGGGTGGGGGTGGGGTGGGCAGAATATCTAGGTCTAGAGTCCCACACCGAGGTCCAGAGGGCTGGATTCAGGGGGGCAGACAGGCTTTGTCTGGGCAGCATACACTTTGTTGCTGTTCATTTGAATGTGAATCTTTAGTCAGGGCTTGTACTCTGCCTCAGTTCCCTCCTCCCTGTGTCATCCAAGGGCTGCCCTTTACACATTCATTCCATGTTCATGTCATCGCCTGGCCTGGAGGGCACATGTGCAGCCACCCTTGGCGGGAGGGAAAGTCTGAGCTGTCTTGGTTTCCAACTCACAGTTGTCCTTAGAGTCGGGGGTGACTGGCTTCTGGTCCAGAGACTTCTCTTTCCTTGAGGTTGAGTTGAGGAAAAAACAAAATGTAAGGCTTGTCATTGTCAAGAATTACAAGCCTCACCCCTGGCTGGCTTGGCTCAGTGGATTGAGTGCCAACCTGTGAACCAAAGGGTCGCTGGTTCAATTCCTAGTCAGGGCACATGCCTGGGTTGTGGGCCAGGTCCCCAGTAGGGGGCGCGTGAGAGGCAACAACACACTGATGTTTCTCTTTCTCCCTCCCTTCCCCTCCCTAAAAATAAATAAATAAAATCTTTTTTTTAAGAATTATAAATTTCAATGACTGTGAGCTCACCTTAAGTTCTCATCTGTCCCTGAAAAAGTGTCTTCCCCAAGAGGTCCTCACATCCCTGCCAGTACCCTCTATCCCTCTACGCCCTGGATGTCAGGTGTTGAGTCTCAGGTGAGGAGGAACCAGTTTATACCCGGGAAATCTCCTTCCTTCAGGTTGAGATCTTCTTGTTCTATAGTCGAAGTCCTCCCTCCTCCGAAGTAGGGGCTATACAGGCCCCATGTTGCTAGGTTTAGGGTGGAGGTAGTATTGTCACAGCTACAGCTACATGCAACTGAACACAGAGGACTAACAAAGAGACTACCCTTCCTCACCCTACAGATTCCACCGAGAAGTCCCTACCACTCCCAGGTGGCATGGGCCCCATAGAATAGCCCCTGGTTTTAGTTGTTCAAGTTCTACTTGTTCAAATCCCTTCAGACAAGCTCCAGGACACTGAGACAGCCATTTCTTGCCTCCTACTTGAAGTCTCTCCTAAGTGCTGGACCTGCTCCAGGTTTTGTCCATTTTCTCAGGGCTCGGCTTCTCTCTCTTCCTCCACCATCTTCTGACCTGTTTCCCCAGTTCGTGCCTCTTTCCTCACGTTTCTGCTGTCCTGCTCCCACTGAGCTTTGGCATCACTCAGTTCCTGGCTCTGAGGTTGTGGGGCTCCCCTCATTGCTGTTCATCCTCTCTCTATCACATGGGGCTCCCGCCTTCCTCCCCAGGACTGTGCCCTTCATGACTAGCCTGCTTGCCCCCTCCAACTTTGTCCCCCACTACTCCTCAGAGCTGGCCCCAATCGCCCCCTGAGCCCAGCTTACCGGACAGAGATGGGCGTGTGGTGCTGGCTGCAGGCGGTTCCTATGATCAGCACCAGAGCCCAGACTGGCGAAGCCATGTGGGACATCAGAGCCGGCTCTCAGAGGACACGAGGAAGGCAGAGAGTAAGGAGCCCAGGCTATTTTAGACACCCCTGACCCTCCTTGCCGGGCATCCCTCTGAGGATGCCATGAAAACTGGACAATGAGGAAACTGGAAATAAAAATTATGAGGGCTGAAATTTAAAATCCAACAAACAAGTTATAAATCAAAATTGAGAGAAACAAAATGAGAGCGAGAGAGAAGGAAAGCAAGAGGGAAAGAAAAGAGAGACTTGGAGAATCAGTCCAGGAAGTCTAATGTCCAATCAAAAGAGTTTGAAAAAGAGAAAACACAGAAAAAGAAACTACTGAAGAAAAACTACACAAGATTTCCCAGAGCTGAAATGTGAGTCCCTTGATTAAAAGGAGTCTGGTATGATGAATGCAAAGAGACCCATGAAAGGCATGTCATAAAATTTCAGAATATCAGGGGCAAAGAGAAAACCCTAAACACCTTCAGACAGAAGAAAGCAGGTCACATACTAAGTATCAGGAATCAGCTGGGCGTTGCACTTTTCTATAGCAACCATGGATTCTAAGAGGCAGCAGGACATTGTCTGCAGAATTCCAAGAGAAACTCCTTCAAACCTAAAATTCTATAACCAGCAACAGCAGCAAAGGCGACTGGAAGGTCAAGTGAAGTGAAGACTGAAGTGCTTGTTGGCAAGGAGTTGAAAAGGACAAGTTACTGAGGAAATACAACCAGCCAGTAAACATAGGAAAGGATGCTCTGCTTCACTAGTAATAAGGGAAATGCTGAGCAAATGAAACTGTTACATTGACGACAATTTAAAAGACTGAGAGCACTGAGTGGTGGCCAGCATGCAAGCGGACACACTCAAATACATTGTCGATAAGATAGACGGTATGTTACTGAAAACTTCTTAGAAGGTTTTGACAATGACTCTTAAACTTCCAAATGTGTGTATCTTTGACCCAGCCACTACCTTTCTAATGATCTTCCCACAGAAATACATGCTTATTTGCACAAAGATGCACATACCTTAAATATTTTCATTGTGGTATTATTTACAATAGGAAAATAATCCAATTACCTAAATGTTTACCAGTAGATATGCAACAGATCATATTCAAGGAATATTATTCATGTGAAGAAATATTATGCAGGTATTAAAAAGAACAGTTTTCCTATAAAAATGGAATTACCATATGGTTTAGTAATTCCACTTCTGGGTATATAGAATTGAAAAAATTGAAAAGCAGTGAGAGCAAGGACTTGAACAGATATTTGTACAGCCACATTCATAGCAGCTTTATTCACAACAGCCAAAAGGTGGAGGCAACCCAACTGTCCACTGACAGATGAATGGATAAACAAAATGTAGTGTGTGTGTATATATATATATATATATACATACATACATGTGTATATATACATGTATATATACACATATGTGTGTGTGTGTGTGTGTGTGTGTGTGTGTGTGTGTGTGTATATATATATATACATACAGTGGAATATTTTCAGCCTTAAAAGGGAGGAAAGCTCTGACACATGCTACAGTATTTGAGGACATCACACTAACTGAAATACATCTATTACTGAAAGACAAGCACAGGATGGTTCCCCTCATGTGAGACTCACTTAGCCTCCCCAAATTCATAGCGACCGAGACTAGAATGGTGGTCGCCAGGGTTAGAGGCAGTGGGTGATGGGGAGTTAGTATGTAATGGGTGTGAATGGTTTTACAGGATGAAAGTTCTAGAACCAGCTGGTGGTGATGGGTTGCACAAAGAATGTGAATGTACTTGCTCTGACAGGTGCGGCTCAGTGGACTGGGCATCGTCCCGCAAACCAAAAGGGCGCTGGTTTGATTCCCAGTCAGGACATGTGCCTGGGTTGTGGGCCAGGTCCCCGGTTGAGGGGAGGCAGCTGATAGATATTTCTCTCCCTCTCTTTCTCCCTCCCTTCCCCTCTCTCTAAAAAACAAATAAAATCTTAAATTTTAAAAAAGAGAATGTGAATGTATTTAATGCCACTGAAATATACACTTAAAAATGGTTAAGACAATAAATATTATGTGTATTTCAACACAATTTTAAGAAGTACTTTTTAAAAGGTACTACTTGACAATATGATACTATTAGAGTTTATTCCTGACTTAAAAAAAAAAAGAAAAGAATGGCAGTAGATCCATAGAGTCTGATGGTGGAAAGAGCACCTAGAGATATATTGCATAAAAGAGGTGAGACACAGAAAAAATGTTATATGTGACCCCATTTATGTAACATTTCAGAACAAAGGTATGTGTTTATGTACATATTCAGGTTGAGGTGTAGGACACACAGCAAGCTGTTTACAGGGTGACCCCTAGGGAGGGGTGAGCGAAATTTTCATGTCTTCCGCATATTTATGCATCCAGGTGTTCCTGTGCATAGCTCTGCTTTGCTACAGACACCTCAGTGAGAATCATTTGAGAGGCCTGGTTGGAAGGAAGCCAGACTAAAGGATTTGAGGAGGGAGTGAAAGTTGAAAAACAGGATCCAAGGAGGAGGCAGGGACAACATTTTAAATCTGTTTGGCCATCTAGCCCTGGCCAGTGTGGCGCAGTGGACTGAGCACTAGCCTGAGAACCAAAGGGTCACCAGTTCAATTCCCAGTCAGAGTGAATGCCTGGGTTGCAGGCTAGGTCCCCAGTAGGGGGTGCATGAGAGGCAGCCCCACATTGATGTTTCTCTTCCTCTCTTTCTCCCTCCCTTCCCCTCTCTCTAAAAAGTAAATAAATAATTTTTTTTTAAAAAAAAGTTGTTTGGCCATCAAAAGAAGACTTGGAGAGTAGGTGCAAAAATTGAGACAAAGTAGGGTGCTTTCAAGATAAGGGAAATTTGAACCTATGTAAATGCACGTGGGAAGGGTGCAACAGTGAGAGAGATGAAAAAGGGCTCCTGAGAAGGTGGTTGGGAAAAGTCTAGAACACAGGCAGCAGGAGGGACAAGCAGCTCTATGAAGCGAGTGGAGAAGGGACCCCGCAGATGCATATCTAGTGGCTTCTGTTTCATCTGTGAAGTAGGAGAAGTCTTCGGTCACAGGAAGGCCACGGCAGTGTCCCTCTCAGATGAGCATGCCAGTCCTGCCCACACCCAGCTCATCCTCACCTTCCTGCTTGGTGATGCCAGCCCTCTCTCCTCCACTCACCTCTTCCCACCTTTTGCTGCACCTTACAACAGTGCGTTCCTCTGGCCGGCAGGCAGATCAGTGCCTCAAGGAGCCTTTGACCCAGGTCACTGATGGTTAGGGAAGGTGTCTGCAGAAGGTGACACCTGAGGGACTTTCTAAATGACAAAAAGAGGGTAATTAGGCAAAGAAGTTGGGAAGGCACCTTCCAGGAAGAGGAAATGTTCTAAGATTGGAGAGAGTATGACATTTTTGGAGAGTGGCTGGTGTGTGTGTGTGTGTGTGTGTGTGTGTGTGTGTGTGTGACTAGCAGAAGGCAGGAACCCTGTGTAGGAGATCTTGAATACCATAGCTTTGAGGAAACACCAAAAGTTTTTAAACAATGGGAGTGACTCTCAGGTCACTTGCATTTTCAAAAGGCTGCTGGGGGTGAGGTGGGGGGCGGTGCAGAGGAATACAAATCAAAGAGTGTGCAGTCCAAGCCTGGGAGACAGGAGAGGAGGTTGCGGAAGGGGAGAGATATGGTGCAGATGGAGCTGGAAACAGCAACTCTTGCAGGCTAACCTAACTGAACTTCATGTCCTGTTCATAACAATGACCGTGTCCTCATTTTCCATGTGTGGAAACTGAGCTTGGGAGAGATGAAGTCAATTGCCCAGCATGAGAACTTTGCACTGACTGTCCCCACACGGTGTCCTGCCCAGTCCCATGGTCTCATGAGGAGACTCTCAGGAATTGTTGGGGGCAACCAAATAGGGGACTCCACCCCAGCCAGAGCAGCTATACTTTTATAGGTTTCATAAATGGCCATTCTATATAAGACTGAAGCCAAAAGGGTGGTTTTCAGCTTTTAAAATCCCCGCTGACTCTCATTGCACATGCAGAGCTGCAGGTAGGCTGCAGGGCTGGCCCACGGTGAGCTGAGCTATCATGAGTCCAACTTTCCTACATCCCACCACACCCCTGCTCTTAGAAACCTTCAGTGTCATTCCCTTTACCTTGGCAAACCCCCACCCCCTACTCCCAAATCTATGCCCAGGGCTTCAGACAAGTGACAGTGATGCCCAGGCAGGCCATTCTTGTGGGCTATTGGGGAGGGGCCAGTCCAGTTGAGAACCAGGAGTCCAAGATGGAAGTCTATAAACCCCTTTTACTGTCTCAGTGATCCCCGTGCCCACATGAGCCTCAACAGGGCCCATGTAGGGATTAAACCCAGCGAGAGAGTGATCCTCTGCCCTCTACATCAAACCTGGGGACACAAAGGATGCCCCCTCTCAGACCCTGCTCTACCCACCCTCCAGACTGAGCTAGCAGAGCAACCAATAGAGGGACAAAGCCAGGAAATGGTTAACCTAGGGAACAGCAGCAGAAGCCAATTGATCCACAGCCCCTCCTGGTTGGGCAACAAGTCCTCAGAGAGCTGCTTTTGCTGACCTCCCTTTGGCGCCAGAGAGCTGGACAGTCACAGCTTCCAGCCTGCCTGGAGGTGGGGGTTGGGTGCTCAGGCAGGACAGGAAGGGGTGGACGATGGTGCTGAGCAGGGGGACCTGCTCAGTCAAGTCCATTGGGCTCTGCATTTTGGGGAGTCAGGACCAGGCAAGACCCCAGCGGGTTTGTCACCTGACAAGACTGGCAGCTGCAGGAATAGGTGTGAGAGATCCTGGGATGTAGAAACCCCCTGGGAATTCAGAGAACTGGAGTCAGTCCTGGCATCACTGTGTGCCCTTGCACACTTTGGTCACCCTCTCTGGGACTCATTATCCTCATCTGCAAGACGGAGAGGAGAGATTAGCACAGCCAAAGATTTTAAAATAAAAAATTACGTGTCACATGATTTTTTAATAATCAGTTTTTTAAAATCACAAAGGGAGTTTATAGACATTTGGGCATGACTCACATAAGTTGGGAAAACATACTGCTGTCTGTTTTCCTGTTGCTAATAATCTTTCACAATGTCACAGTTTTATAATGGAATTTTAGAGGCACTAGCTTTGACCAGCTGGAAATAATATACAGTAGGTAACTTTCAGCTTAGAGTCCAATGTCTAAGAAACTCCATTGAGCTAACTCAACTCCAGCGATAGCCACCTGCTCTGGTGAAACTTGTGGACTGAGCAGTTGCAGAAAAATCCTAGGCAGCCTGTGAGCTGGGGTCAGGCAGGTGCATTTGGTCAGCCTGATGTTCAGGCCCGGGGAGAGGATTCAGGCTAGTAGTACCCAAGGCCAAAAGGCTGCTGTCAAGGTGGGAACTGGGGCTGTAGGCAGCAGCTGAGTTGGTCTCTAGTGCTGGGAGACTGGCGATGGGGAGGGCAGTAGGCATTTTCCACCATATCCAGGGAGGAAGTGGGAGCCTGAGGCAGAGAATAGAGAGAGTGGGCAGGAGTGGTAGTGAAAGATGGAGCTGCCTAATGCTGTTTTCTCCCTTCCATCCACTCCCTCTAACTGTCTCCTCTGCCCCAATGCTTTCAGTAGAAGAGGGGCCGTGAATCAGAGAGACTGGTTTCTGATTCTGGCCCTTCCTCTGTGTCTTATAACATGGTCAAGGCCCATAAACTCTCTGGATCTCAGTTTCCTCTTCTGCAACGTAAGGATCCTCTACTGTCTCTGCCTTCCTCGTGGGGTTAGGAGAGCAAATGAGAGATGCCCAGGAAAGCACCCTATAAATCGAAAAGCCCTCTACAAACAGAAGTCATCTCCATTGAACAGTTATGTAACCTGCTGATTCAGACCTGGGCTGCGCTGGCTCCTGCCCAGCCAGGAAGTCAGAAGAGCAGGTTCCATCACTTACTTGGCAGAACTTAGTTTTAGTTTTCTGTCTGACAAATGGAGGTGGTACCTATTGTCCTCCTATTTCACAAAGTTGTGGTGTGAACCCCAGCGCAGAGCTTAATGTATTGCTAATCATAACAATGGTAGTACAGAACGAAGCTCACACTCCTGGCCTGCACTTGAAGGAAGTGACCTCCTTGTGTATCTGTCTCCGTAGAGGGACTCGGGTCCTCACCAAGTTCTTCATGCCCTGGGTCTCTGGTTACCCCACATCTTAGCACTCCAGTCACATACCAAGCTGACTATGGCTAAAATAATGAGTTCCTGTCTTTTCACTGCTGGGGACTGCTGGGCTGTGGGTAGCACAGGCTGTCATTTCACTAGCGCTTCGTGCAAAGGGTAGCTCACAGTTGGCACTCCATAAACATGGAATAAGTGAATTACGTTTTAGTGTTCTTAACATACTCACCCATTACACCTGGCCCAGGTCACATAGTTCAGGTACCATTAATTACTTTTTGTTTAATTGAAAGCAGTAATAAGTCTGAAGAGAAGTCAAAGATCAGTGGTCCTGAATTCTAGGGATGAAAGAGCCAGGGGGATGTGCAGGCAGCAAATCGGGCTGAAAAAGAGGTGGACAAGCTTTTGGAGTTATGGGTCCTAAATTTCCAGATCAGGTCCTAGCTGTCATTTATTAGCTGGATTCCTTGGACTGCAGAACAAATCTCTTAGCTTCCATTCCACCAGCAAGAAATAGAGATTCTTCCCTTACTGAGTCACAGCAGTGGGGGCAAAAACCAGATGCCACATGTGGAAACCACAATACAAACTTTTATTGAAATGTGCGAGGTCGGAACTCTAAGGGTTTTCTATAGCTTGTAGATTTCTCTAGCATCTCCTAATAGGGCCTGAAGAGGGCACTCTAGGCCAGGAGTCAGATTGGCCAGAGTAAAAATTCCCCTAGGGTCCACCCCTTCTGTTCCTCCTCCCACCACAGCTCCACCCTTCCCCCCACATAATAGTTGGCAAATACTCTCCAACCCCCCAACCTGCCCATAATTTTTCCTGCTGCAAATTGCAAAACATTGTCTCCCTTTTGCACATTTGCAGGGGCACAGGCTGACTTCTCTAAGTTTTGCAATATAGGCAGAAAGACTGATCCCCCTGTGTAGATAATGGCCAGGACTGGAGTCCAGATAGTTTTGTGACATTTTTTGCTATCTGCACAGGTCTCTCTTGGGCGCTGCTTTGCCCCTGGAAGCACTTCTGGGAATGAATTTAAAGCTGGTTGTCAGAGTCAAGGATCAGATAAGAAGTAGGGATTGGGAATGAAAGTTGAGCTAATTTGCTCTGTGTCCCCCACCCCAGGTCAGCGGGGAGCAGGTAGGGGTAGTGTGGCAGGAAAATAAGCAGAAGAGGGAAGGGGTGAGTGCTGACAGAATGCCTGTTGCCTGGGCCTTGGGCAAGTTTTTTTTTACTTCTTAATCTACACAATGGGAACGACAGCGGTAACTTTCTCATCAGGCTGTGTGAAGAGTTAACACGAGGCCACAGAAGCGACCGAGAGAAGCACACACGGGGCACAAAGTGAGCGCTCTGTGAGTTGGCTGTCTGGGAAAGCGGCTCCTTCTGCTCTGCTGTCGACTGCCCCTCTGCAGTCTCAGGGCAGAACATTTATGGTGACCATCCCTAGGCAAGGAAAGAGGTGAGCTGGATTTAAAGGGGCTCAGTGCATTGAGGTGGCAGAGGCTGATGCTGGGAACGTGGCATTAGCCAAAGGGGCCCCAGAGAAGAGGCAGAATAGTGTTGGTAGCTGTCTACTGAGGAATAGCCTTGAATGGAGACACATTATTGACCAGTGTGGGCAGAGCTTGTGGCCTCACGCCCAGTGGGTCAAGAGGTCAGACAGGCCGTGCAAGGCAGCACGTAGGGTCCGACCCCCTCCACCTCTGGTTTCCTAGGCCTGTGGCCTGCTGTCATGATGGGGGCAGAGCCACGAAAATGGGGAGCTCGTAGGAAAACATAAAAACCAAGAGCCATGTTATGGTTTTAGTTCTTGCCAGTGAAACTGGAAAATATACAAAACTTGGACCCCATGAGAGCCAGGGGCCAGCCCCCATCCCATCTTCACGGCTCCCACCACCTTTGTTGTCCAGGGAGCTCTTGCTGTCATGGAGTCCCCCTGAGGCCTAGAGAATTCATGGTTTGCCACCTAAATCCTCCAGTCCATCCTATCCCTGCTGGGTAGGTGCAGGAAGAGGTATTTGCCTTCCGGCTTGTCCTGACATCACAGTTCTGCAGGGCACCAAGATGAGTTCGGTGTCTCTCCAACATGGCACCATCCTAAGTTTAAGCTGATCTCTGAATTCTTCCTGCTTCAGGGCCTCAGACTGGCCCTGTGACATCCTCAGATCTGAGCTGAGCTCTGGACAGTTCCTCTGGCCCCTAAGATGTCACCACTGGCCCTGGAGTGTCCATGGGACAGGCTGGTGCTGAGCTGATAGCCCCTTTATGGGGGTCGGGAGTCGTGCTGTGGAAGGCGTGGTGTGGGCAGCAGTGGTGAGCGAGGTGGTGGACGTGCCTGGGGTGGGAGCATCTGGTCACCTGTCCCTTCTCCTGCAGGCTTCCCCTGTGTACAGCTTCAGCTTTCCCCGAAGAAAATTGGAGTAGATTCGGAAAAGTTTGCACAAAGTATCAACAGTGAATGTTCGGAGTGGCTCGGCAGAGGCCGTTGTGTCTGGAGGGGAAACGGCTTCTTTCTGTGAAGGAGAAAACAGAAGATTATTGCAGTGCCAGGGACCCTGCAGGGAGAAGGGATTCAAGACAGAATTAGAGGGGCTATGAGGAAAGTCAGAGTATTCCTTGGCGGGGCCCATCTCCCATTTTACAGACAGAGCAAACAGAATGTGAGGGAAGATCCGTTCCTACTCACCTGGGCTCCCAGTGCCCGAAACAGGGAGGTGAGGCTGCGCAGGCTGCTGATGGCTTTGTCCACATGCAGCTGCAGGGTCTCAGATGGCTGGGACGAGTTGGCCAACAGGGCCTGACCCCGAAGGATGGCTTCGGAGAGCAGGGCCAGGCCCTGCCAGACTTCCAGGGCCTGCTGCTCAACCTAAAGGGAGCAGAGACTCGGAGTTAGCTGGCTCAAGCCAGCCCTTTCCTCATCCCGCTCAGCAGCCCCAAGCACAAAGCTGAGTAAACAACAGAAGGCATGCAACACGGTTTGTGGAATGAATGAATGAACAAACAAATGAACATATTCCATTCAGTCCTCATCTTTGCTGCTTCATTTTTTTTGTATCTCTATCATTTTCCCTCCCACCCTATCAGGTTCTCAAAATGAGGCTCCCCAAAAGCAAGGAAAAAATAAACTCACCTCCATCCTCTTCCAGGTGTAGAAGTTAACCTTGGTGTCTGGGACCGTGATATTCTCACTGAAGTTGCAGCCTTCAGCACAGCCCATCTAAAAGCACAACCCCAGGGAGTCAGGCCCCCAAGGACTCCCAGCCTAGGCCACAGGCCATAGGCCCTCCAGTTTTGCCCCTTACCTAACTCCCAGATGTGCATTAGGGGTTACCAGTTTTATCATTTTTACTGGAGGCTCTGGCTTCCCACCTCCAGCCCTGAACCAATTGCCAGGTTCCTGGATCTTGGAGGAGAGCCCCAGCCCCTGAGAGTGAATTCTGTGGAATGTCCTGGGGAGGGGGCCTCACCGTGACATTTTCGGCCTCCCGGGCCTCCAGGATGTACCTCTCCAGGACTCGGCTGTCACAGATGAGGCGTGGGGGGGCGCCCAAGACTGGGAGGCCCAGAGGAAGCAGCAGCAAGGACAGCAGGAGCAGCAGGGCAGGACATTCTAGAAAACAGAGCCAGACTTGGTGTGAGGAGGAACAGGAGAAGGGTTGGTCTGGAGGGTCAGACTCACACAACCCGCCTGGCCCAGCCTCCCAACCCCAACCTTCCCAGTGCTCAAGTTCTGCCTCTTTGACTTCATTCAATCCTGCTGCGGAGCGCACACCCCACCCCCCAGCTACCGGCTTCACTTGTCGGGGCCAAACTTCAATCCCGCAGTGACAGAGGCTTCGCCTCTCGCAGACTCGGGTGGTTGCTCCAGGACCCAGGTATCAACTTCCTCCCAACCCGCACAGCAGCCCTTCTTTGCACCGAACCCCCAAACCTCGTCCCCGTCTCCGGGTCACACTCTGCCTTTCCCGGGGACTCCCAAAGCACGTGGAGGCAGCCCCACCCCCTTGCCCTTCCGGGGTTCCTCAGCAAGTCGCTGGTCCTTGAACTCAATCACCTCCGGGCCAACAGTCCTAGCGGTAAATCCCTTCTCAAACAGGGGCCGGGTAGGGAGCTCCCCCTCGGGCTAGCACTCACCGCGCACCCCCATCTCCTCCGTGCCCCGCCTGGCCGCTCACTGACCGGGGGCTTGCCCGGCGCCGGGGCCCCGAGCCCTCATCCTTGCAAGCTCCGTGGGGCAGGTCCACTCCACAGGCCGGAGGAGGGGGCCACCGTCCAGGGGCTGCCGAGCCGAGGGTCGGGCCGAGCAAGCGCAGGACCAGCGTCCGGGAGCACGCACTGCTAGGCAGCTGGCCGGTGTTGGCCCGGGGACTGCGGCTGCGGCCGGGGGTCGGGGCTGTTATCAGCATGTGTGCGTGCGTGTGTGGGGGTGGGGAGGATGTGTGCGTGAGGGGTCGCCCGAAGTGGGGGCCAGGAGGTCAGAGCAGGGGGCAGGACGCCTGGGTCGCAGGATCGCCGGGGCGGGAGCTACGGGCAGACTGAGGGTGCAGGGACACTGCTCTGCCCGCCTGTCCCCGGGAGGTGCAGCTGGGCGCGCACCAGCCTGACGGGCAGAACGCCTGCGCTTGATAAAGGAGAGCCACTCTGGGAAAGGCTGGGCACTCCGACGCCTCCTTGAGGGGCATCCGGGTCTTGGGCGGGGTCTCAGAGCTGGAAGTGCCTAGATTCCTGCAAGGGCGCTGGATTCGGAAGCCAGGAAGGTGCAGGCAGAGGCAAGTTAGTTGTCTTCCTCTTCACAGTCCCTGTACTTGTCTGTTCTAAAACCAGTGTTGTTCACGTTGAAGAATTTGATGGGGGTGCACAGAGCACCATGTTGAGGAATTTGATGGGGGTCCACATCAAAGAAGTGTGGGGGTCTTCTCCCCCCACAATCCTCACTTTCTAGGACCCTGAAAGCCCAGAAATTGTACTTTTAGGGCACAAAGCACATGATATGCTGTTCAGGACACACAGGCACCTTGACATGTTTCTTTGTCTGTGATACAGGTTAGCCTGCATGGCAGAGTTCTTACGAACTCTGAAGTAGAGCTAACTCCCAAAGTGACAGCAGTTAGAATTTGCAGCTAAGCTTTTGTGGCTTCTAGGAAGCCCTGAGGCAGAGAAACAAGCTCCCTCAAGGAGGAAACCAAGGCTGGCTGGCTTTCAAAAGTTGGAAAATGGTCTTGGCTGCTGAGCCTCAGTGTCCTCACCTGTCAAATGGGTGTGATGAAAGCATCAGTCACCCACCCCCCATGTAGGTTGCATAAGACAGCAGCAAAATCCTCCAAATACAGGTAGTTGTATATACTCCTTCACTCTCTACCCAGTCCCATGATATTAGAGATATTTTATTCATGTGTTCAGTGCCTTCTCTGGGCAAGACACTTGACTATACACTTAGCAAGACAAAAAGATATGTTGAGACCTAGCTCCTGTCTCCCGGATGGAGTCCGTAGCTTACCATCAAGATGAGGTGTGGACACAGGGCCAAGTGTGAGGGCTGTAGTGCCCGGAGCTGAGCTGTCAAGAGTTTGGAAGAGGGAAAGCTCCTCTAGCTGGAGAAGTCAAGGAAGCTTTGATGGAGGTGACAGAGCTCAGCCCTGAATGGGCAGGTAGGATTTCAATGGGAAGAGATGTGAGGTGGGTGTGAGAGGCCAATTCAGCAAAGTGAAAGGGGGGTCAGGTGTGTAGGGTATGGAAAGGAGAGGTGGGGATCGGGCCAGAGTGCTGGGTTAAGGAGGGGTCAGGTTGTGAAGGGCCTTGAATGACACTGCGGATTCTGGTTTCTGTTTGGAAAGAGTGGGAAATGTTCCTTCGTTCATTCATTCATTTATTCAAGAACTATTTGTTTCTTCAAGAAATGAAGGTCCATTCATTCAAGAAATATATATAAAAATAACGACTCATGGCCAGGATCTGGGGAGCAGTGAATGAAACAGTCCAGTGCATCTGCCCTGGTGGAGCTGACATTTCAGTAGAGAGGCAGAGGACAGACATAAATATGTGTGAAAGAGAGAACATCCCATTGCAGTAAGGACTGAGAACAGGCACAGAAGGGGACCGGGAGCATTACAAAAGACTGCAGTTTTATTTTTATTTTTTTATTGTTTTCAAGTATACTTGTTTGCTCCCCCACCTCTCCCCCCAACCCCAGCGCCCCACCCCCGCCCCATTATTGTCCATAAGGGCTGCAGTTTTAGATCAGGCAGGAGGGATGCATGCTGAGAAGAACTGAATGAAGACCTGGATTAGGTAAGGGAGGGGAGAGACCAGGATCAAAGAGGGGTTCAGAAAGATGGAGAGGTTGGTGTGTCTCCGGTGGAGACAATGAGGGCCTGCCTCTGTCCCACCCTGCTCCCCTGCCCTCAGCTCCCCTCAAGATTACTCCAGGAGCCCCCTGAGCCTGGTGCACTGGATGTCAGTCTGCACTCATACTGCGCCTTCTAGTCCCGGTTTCCCTCTCGACACGGGGCGGACTCCCAGCCCCTCCTGGCCCGCAGAGCCCAGTTCTGCTCCCTTCCCAGATCCCAGCTGTGAGACGAGCACATGCACACTCACGTCCACACACGTCCGCACATGTATTCTGTCCCAAACCTCCCACTCCCAGGCTCTGCTCTCCCAGTCCCCTGACTCCTGCGTCACTGCCCTGACCTGACCATGAAGAGGGAACCAGGGACAGAAGAGGGGGGAGTGTAGACAGACTGAGGAAAGGGAGGAGAGGATGAGCCTCTTGGGCTGTGGGACCTGCTCCTCCCTCCCCTCTGACAGCAACTTGTCAGAGGTCCCTGCCTTCTGAAAGGAAAGGAGATGGGCCACGAGCGCAGCCCATAGGTGCTGGGGACTGCTGGACAGCGGTGGCGCTGGCTCATTCTCTGTGGCTTTTGGAGAGAAAGCTATGATTGCAGCTTGGGAAAAAGGGTAGAGGAAAGGGTCTTGGTCCAGCCAACACCCACTCCCTAAACTGTGTAATCCTGTTAGGAGGGCAGAGGCCGCTTTGGAGGACTTCACCCCAGGTGCTCTTGGATACTGCCCAGCAGGGTCCACCTGTCTCTCCTCATCAGGGGACCCTGAGAAGCAGGAGGAAAATAGGAAGCTACCTGAGGTTCCCCATCCAATGCCCACCACCCCCTACCCAGTGCCCTCTCCATCTTCCTGCTTGTATTCCTCTGGCATGGTGCTGAAGTGGTCCCAGGACCACTGCAGAGGGTCTCCTCACTGACCCCTCCAGCTAATCCCCAACCCTGCTCCTGACTGCCTCAGAGCCAAGACCCTCTGCGTTCTGCCACCTACCTGCCTCTCCAACCTAGTCTCCCACTTTGCTCATTCCCACTCCCTTCATCACATGCGTTCAGTTAGATGGCTTCCAGCTTCCTGCCCTTTGCTCATCCTATACCTTCCACCCTACCACTCTCTTTCCCTTGTTCTTCAATGACCAAACCTAAGCATTATCTCCTCTATGAGACCTTCCCTGATCCCCCAGCAGGAAGTTGTCTCCTTCCACTATGCTGCCATCCTTACACATCTTAGGCCTGTCACTAGCAGGGCCACCATGCACAGCTGTCAAGGTTGAGTACTACACAGCTCCAGGAGTACCATTCATACAGACTCTGATGGGAATGGCACTCTCAGGGGTCATGCAGGAGACGTGCTCTGTTAGTCAGAGGAGAGCAAACAATAGTGTATGACAGGTCTTGTTCACTTTGGTGCTCACCAGGCACCTAGCATGTTTCCTGTTTATAGTCATCACTTATGTGTGGCTTGCGTTATGCAGTCCCTCCACTGCAGACACCTCAGCTAGAGATTGACCTAGTGGGGGAGGTAAGCCATTCACCCTCAGAGTGCTTGCTGGAGCCATGCCTGGACAACCTAGTTCTGGGGTCTCAGGGGCTTGCGAGGCCTCCCTCCACTTCCTGTGCAAGCAGCCACTGAGGCAGGGGCTGAAAAGGAACAGTTGTGACCAGAGGATAGCAGGGGTGGAGGCAGACTCTGTTCCATGGATTGTTCCTGGCAGCCAATTCAGATGGAAAATCCGAGAAGCAAATTTACAGCACCCCTGAGCTGCCCCAGACCCCAGGCAGTACGAAGGCCAAGCTGCCTGGAATTGGCTTGGGGATGGGTGGGGGGTGCTCTGGGCCTCTCCTACCCTGCTGTCCAAGCAGTTGCTTCTTGGCTTGGCTCAAGAGTTCAGCCAGTGGCCCAGAAGACCTTCTGTGCTGGGAAGTGAGGTGGCCGAGGACCTTGGAGGATGGGGTAGGGGGAGGGCTTCCTGGCCCCTGGGGAACTGGAAAGGGAGCAAGAATGTTGAAGGGATTCCTGCTGGAGAAAGGAAGTCCTGTGCAAAGACCAATTTGGACAAATCGAGGCAAGGACTGCTCTCTTGGCCACAAGTAGCCAGGAGAATCAGATCCACCTTTCTGTTCTCAGCAAGCAGCTCTGTAACCTCACAGCCTAAAGGGGTTATTTGGTAAACAAGAGAGTCCAGATTGGTGGCCTGAGCTCTGCCACTTACTAGCACCGAATTTGTGACTTTGTCTCTGAACTTTGTTTCTATAGAATGCGGATGGTGAAAATGACAGTAATCTCTTCCCAGGACTGTGGTGGGATTATGTAATCCTTGCCATAGGGTGATCAATAAATGCTGTTATTCTTATGTTTTCTGCTTTATTATCCCGGCTATTCTCACTTTGGAGGCCTAGAGACCAGACCCCCAGCATACATAGCCTTTGGCCTTCCTCCAGCATCTTCCACCGTTCCCTCTGGGGAGCTGGGCAAAGGTTCACGGCATCTTGTGTCTGGTGTTACAGCTGCCCCACCAATAAGCTCACTGGAAAAAGTCGAGAATAGTGGGGTGTTGGACAGGTATCTCTGGAGGTCTACATTGACTGCACTGGGGAGAAACTTGCCCCTGAACACAACTGAGTGAAATGGCATCACTGCAGGAGTTAGAGATGGGTTAAGACATAGATTATCAAGACAAGTGTCAAACTTAGTTTATTCAAAGGGTTTATTCAACCAGGGTTTTCTTGCCCCATCAGTGCGGGTCCCCAGAAAAGCCCAAAGCCCTTGGACTGAATTAGGCCTTTGCACTCACCCTAGACAAACATTAAGGGGTCACCTTCCTCGGTTGTCTCTTGAATCCCCCAAGTACTTGAGTCCCTGAAGCAGGGCTGCCACAGCACCAGTACTCTACCTTGAGTTCTGGAACTACTTCCCCGGGTAGATTTCTGTGAAAAGTGTCAGCCCACATTCTAGCGTCTCTAGCTCCTATCTCTCATCCTGTATCAGAAGACAGAGCTGCCATATTGGCCAGAGTTAACTTTCCTGTCCAAGCAAAAATAAAATTAGAAAGTCCTAACCGAACTAAAACACTACTGGAAGTTTCAATAGGAGTGATGTTTTTCTCCCATGTAAGGCCTTTGCAGGTATACAGTTATGAATACAAAAGTTTCTATTTGTTAACATGGGGCTTGGGAACTTTTTAAGGATTTTGCATGAACTCTAGTGGGTGGTCCTTCCTATAGACTCTTTCTACTTAGAGGGTTATAGGCCAAGATCTGCTCAAGGGAAGTTTATTGCAGCCTTAGACATGCACTTAAACACCCCAATTTAGCAAATGTTTTCCAAAATTGTTCATGGTTCACTGAGAACCAGCAAATTATAAACCTGTTGTTTGACCCCTCAGTCATCCCTGGTCTAAATGTAATTGAGCCCTTTGGTTCATGTCGTCTTTCATGAACCAGCAAATAATTTCAGTACTTTCAGGAAACATGATTCATGGACCTGGAAGGGGCCTAGGTCTTGTGAAGGGGAAGTTCCACCCTCTGCTTGCATATTTCCAGTGACAAGACATTCGATGTTTCTCAAGGGAGCAGAGGCTCATTATAGATTAGACAGTACGCTGTTCTCCTGTGCATCCACTCATCCATCCAACCGTCAGGTATTTATTCGTTATTAGACTGGGCAATGAAATAATTTCTCCTTGACTTATCTCATCAGTTAGATGACTAACTCCCCTGAGCACCCTATCTAGAGAGCAGAACAAAAGAACTAGATTTGTAAAAAATTAACTTTTCTTATTACAAAAAATATATGATCATTGAAAAACTAGAAAACATTGCAAAAACAAAAACCATAAATTAAAAAGCACCCATAACGCCATCAGGAAGATGGAGTCTTAAGTGGTCATTTTCACAAGACTTCTTTCTTGGTGGCATTCCCTTGGCCTCACTCCAAATCTGTGCCACTAGACACCTGCTCCCAAAGGAACTGCATTCAACACATACTTCCAGTCCAACTTCTCCACAGGTTCAAGGCTGTGTGGAACATACCATTCAACTCCTGACCAAGCACCAGGAACTCACCTGGGACATCATGTGGGGACCTAAGTAGAAGGATCCTCAGCACATCTAAACAAGTTCATGTGTCCTGAGGGCTTTCTTCCCTTCTGGGCAAGCCACAGTCAAAAGCCTGACAGAACTAATAACCCAGCCTTGCAAATCAAACACAAATCACCTAAGAGGCCCCAAACCATTTCTTAGCCCAAAGGCTCACACTAACCGTAAAAGTCCTTAGGAACGCCAGGACAGTTCCAAGCACAATGCAGATTATCTTTTTAAGTCTATTTGTCCTGCTTCCTATTAGACCAATGGTTCCTACCTCTCAGGGCAGGCCTGGTGCCTAACACAAACCCCTCCAACTACTGAGTGCTCACTAATGTGATGAATGATGAGCTAATGCCTACCCCTACCTCCAAGATAAGCATGTGAATTCTGGCTTGTGAGGATGTTTTTGAAGTAGGAGATTATTATGCACTCACTGTGGGCACTGCAGCTGTTGAGTAAAAAGAGGGAGGGGAACTGCATTTGGACACACCTTCTGCCCCTACTCTCTTCCCCGTTTCTCAAGTTTTGATGAAAGGCACTTCAGAGAGCCAGCAGAAGTTGGGAGGTGGAGGAGGTGGTGGTAGAGAGGAGAGTCAGCCTCCTTCTGGTCTCCTTACAAATGGGATGGAGTTTTGGCACTGCGCACCATGCCTGGATGCCAACAGATGCAGGACTCTTTCCTTTATCTCCTACCTGCCCCCACACACTCAAGGGTTACCCCCATACCCTCCAATGTCTAGGGGCTGTTTCTATAAACCTGCCACTGAGGGAAGCTGCATTGGCAAGCAGTGAGAGAACATGGAGTAGAAATAACAAAGAGGCTGGGAGACAGAGCTGCCAAAACAAACCAAATGCAAAAGGGCTGCCTGCCACCACCTCAGCTGGGCCCAGGCCAGGAGTGCAGACGCAAAAACACATACGTGCAGGGAGACACACAGTTCTATCCAGCTCCCTGTTGGTTCCTCTGCTACTGGGAAACTTCAGGGCAAGGCAGCCTCGCAGTCGAGGATGTTAGGCAAACAGGGGGTAGGAGGGTGTGACAGGAGTATCTCCCATCGTATCTCCTTCGTCTCCCCCTTCTCCTGCTTTCTAACCACTGAGTGACCCTCCAGCCACAGAACATGTCCTGCCTATTCACGGATACCCTTTGTGCCCACTAGCCCCTCTACCAGATATACCCTCTCCCTTCTTTTCTGCTTGGCAAACTCCTATTCATCCTCCAAAACCCAGATCAAAGGTGAAACTATCTTGGACCCCACAAGAAAGTTAGCATTTCCTTCTCCATATTTCCACATCATGGCTACCCTTACTTCTCTTATTAATGTATCTTCCTCATTCACAAAAACTGTGTTTCTACCTTCCCAATTAAATGAAGAACTCCTTGAAGGCAGAGGCCATTTTATACTCACCTGTGTATCCCCAGGGCCCAACCCAGGCCTTGGCTCACAGTGGGTACTCAGCACGTTTACTTGTTGAATGAAGCATGAATCCTTTTGTTAGGAGTCTGCTTTCCTGAGCTACTGGCAGTCACTCATCTGGCATCAAAGTCCCTCATCAATAGGAACACTAAAGCCAGAGGGATTTCAACACATGAGAAGCCGGATTTTCAAAACCCAAACCAAACTACCTTCAACAAACTAGAGCAAAATTCTGTTACTACCCTTTAAATCAGAGACTTTCAAACTTGTGATCTCAACCAAAGTAAAACACAATTTACATACCTAATACACATGTGTATATATAAACACAATAACTGAAAGTGCCAATAAAACTGGTACTTAAGTTGTACTTTTTTTACTTGCTTTTTAAGTCTATGATCCAATACAATGACTTTAAGACTCACCACCCACTTTGATAAGCATTGCTTTAGATGATTCTAGTTTGATAAACACGAGATCAGATCTTTCTACAAATACCCAAACACAAAATATTTATTATCTGTGTGTCCAGTAATTCAGGAGGGAGGCTTTCCTTTCCCACTAGAGCAGCCCAGCCAGAAGGGTTTCAAGGGCTCTGGGCCACAGCTGCTTGGACCCACAGGACCAGGAAACAAATGAAGCCATATATCAGTTTCTATCACAGGGCCTGATACATTCTCAAACCCTCGCCTTTCCTGTGCCTGAGAACCTCTACCACAGCCCATGCTTCTAAGCATAAGACTATCCCAGCTGCATTCAGTGGGCAAGAGGGTACACCTTACCCATTTGGCCTGTCTCTAAGAGAATGAGAAATTTTAAGGCAAATATTGGGTTGTCAGGCTTCTGCACTGTACTAAAGTTTATCTTACCATGTCCACATTATAATCTATACCCTCTGTGAAGGCACTCAGGTTCCCCTCCTGCACCTAAACACTCGTCAAGTTTCCTACTCTCCTTTTCAGGTATACATCAACTTTACACAGGGGACAGGCAGTGGCAGTGGGGTGGGTGGGCACTAAATTCGATACTTTTTATTGCCTAAGACAATGGCTGGTTACAGACCACAAAGATTCAGGAAGGCCTGGTTACTTGGGCCCAACAAGAGACACTCTCCCCTTCTCAATTCAATGTCTTTTGGGCTCAGAGATGACAGGCTTTTCCTTTTATGGCTCTGGTAGGAGGTCCATGACAGTACTGAGTACAAGGAGAGTCATACCTGAGCCTAGCTGAGGGTAGGTGGATGAGGTGAGCCAGACTCATTTTATTATTTGGGTGTGACCCTGAAGACCCGGATGTGGATGGCCGAGTTGTTTCTGATGCGGGTCAGTGGCTCTTGAGTATCAGTCTCTGGTTCCAGCTCATCAACAAGCTCCACAGTGGAGGTATTGGCAGCCACCTGCAAAGACCCGAAGCTGCCCGCCTGAAGCTGTAGGGCAATGTTGATTGCACGGTTGATGGCCAGGCCCAAGCCATGAATGTAGATCTCAGTGCATGCACTCTGACCTCGCGACCCTCCGTCCAGCAGCTTCTGGCAGCGGGCCAGCTGGGCCTTAAAGTCAGTTTTCATGTTAACATAAATGTCATTGGGCCTTCTGGGCAGACGGTGGGGCAACCTCTTCCGAAGGGTGTACTCCACGGGATCCAGCTCAGCCTCAATGGCCCCGCGGTGCTCTCGGTTTTCTGCCATGCTGTGTGTCCTGGCACAGGAAAAAGACAAGAGCGGCGGGGTAAGACAAGCGACTTCGCTTCTTTTCTTACCCAAAAGGCCATTTCCTGCCCAAAAGGTGTAAGCCAGGAGGGGGCGTGCTCAACACCTTTCTTCCCTCCTAGCCTCAGTGCCAGCTCCTGAGTCTCCTCCACCGCTTCTTAGTTCCCATTCTTTCATCACCTCGTCCCCAACCTCAGGCCCCTCCACCATCCCCTTCCCTGGCTCTTCTGCCACGCCTACTCTCTGCGGTCCACAGTAGCCTCCGAGTGCAGGCGGCCCTCTCCCCTACCAGGCCACTCACGCGTTGTGCCGACTGGCCCAAATAGAAGGCGCAGCCCAGGACCTCCAGACCTCAAAAAGGGAAGAAAAGGGGAGCTTAGCAAAAATGCTAGGTAGTAGGAAACACCGTTCCTAAAAGGGCAGAGTGCGCACGCGCATCCACCCCGTGTGAGACCCACCAATCGCCTTCCAGGTCTCCTTTCTCTCCGCCCCTTTCCTGGAAGATGGAGGAAACACGCGAGATGTTAAAGTAACGCGAGGCTGAAGGGGCGGGGAATGGGACCTACCACGTGTGCCCTGGAGGCGTGGCAAGATCACTATGGCGATGTGGGGCGGGGCAAATGTGGGTGAGGGTCTTGCAAAGACGCAAGGGGAAAGCTCAGGGGATCGTCCTAGAGGTGCCTGAAGACAAATCTGGAGTCCTGCATCCACTGTAGTTTCTCTGGTCAGAGGAGGCATGGCGGTGGATAGAACTGACCTCCTGCCCAAAGAGTGGCCAGGTGTTGCCTTCAATGGAGGACAGTATACCTGGACTCCCCTGCACTTCACAGGTGTCCCTCTCCTCTACTTCTTTAGGGGCTGACCCGGAGCCAGCCCATGTGGACTCAAACTAGGAGGCCCAAGTTTCACAGGTCCCTGGGGGTACACTGAGCCCCACACACCCTTCAGCTATCACCCACCAGTTCTGCCGCTGGAAGCAGGTACATGCGCCCCCTAGCGGGAAGGACGAGGGAAAGCGAGAATGGGAGAGTAGTGGTTCCTGGCTCCCTAAGGCCAGTGGGGAGAGGTTGACTCTGCCTGGGGTGGAGGTCCTCTGCCCAGATTGGCGCAGCCTCTGGAGAGTTCCCTTTGGAAATGCGTTATACCTGCACTGGGAACCTCGAACTACTCATTTCCTATCCCTCAAATGGGGATAATATCTGTCTTGACATGGAATTGTGAAGCCCAATATACCCTTGTAAACTGGAAGCCTTCACACCTGAGTTGGCATTTTTTATGGGTCCCAAACCCCTCTTTAGTTGTCTAAGGTAGAGTCTAACCTCATTTCACTAGAGGTTAGAAAGAGGTCAGGTTCCTGAGAACTCGCAGCACGATTTAAATCCCATAGTTCTCCTTTTAGCTCCAGATTCTTTCATTAACCACAAGTTTAGGCCACAGGGGTGTCAAACTCATTTTCAGCAGGGGGCCACATCAGCCTTACAGTTGCCTTCAAAGGGCCAAATGTAATTTTAGGACTGTATAAAGGTAACTACTTCTTAACTAGGGGCAAGGAGCTCGGCACTAACACTGGGTAGAAACAAGGTGCTGGGCCACACAAAACAAGGTAGAGGGTCCGATTTGGCCCATGGGCCTTGTTTTTGCCACCCATGAGTTAGAGGTTGAGGTGGGGGGAGGGGGGAAGGTAGCAGGTGAGGAGGAAAGGCTGGCTACCCCCCTATTCTGCCTCTGAAGTGACATCTGAGATGTCTTTGTTTTTATTTTTTAAAAGATTTTATTTAGTTACTTTTAGAGAGAAGGGAAGGGAGGGAGAAAGAGAGGGTAACATTAACATGCCAGAGATACATCCATCGGTTGTCCCTTGCACACCCTAAATTAGAGACCTGGCCCACAACCCAGGCATGTGCCCTGACTGGGAATAAAACCAGTGACCTTTCTGTTCACAGACCAGTGCTCAATCCGCTTGCTGAGCCACACTTGCCAGGGCTATTTCTATTTTCATTTTTTATTTTAGAGAGTGAAAGGAAGAGAGAAACATGGATTTGTTGTTTCATTTATTTATGCATTCATTAGTTGATTCTTGTATAGGGGGCAAAAGACCCCTGGAATTATCTTTTGGAGCTCAGGGTCCTTGCAGTGCAGGCTTCCCCCACTAGGTGAGTGTTCTAGGAACCCATCTGTATCAGTGTACCAGCTGGCATTGTTGTGAGAAGCTGCATTCGGCTTCAGTAAATTTAAGACCCTTTCAACATGTTTGCCCATTTTACGATGGGGGATTTATGAGTGCACCTACTCACACAGTGCTGAGTGTTCAGCAGTTTTTGACCAAAAAAACATCATGACTACTGTACTCTACTCTCCCTACTCGCCTGATCTCACCCTGAGTGACTTTTTTTGTTTCCTCGGATGAAAAAAGTCCTCAAAGGAAAATGTTTTGTTGATGTGGAAAAACTAAAAGAAAAAACTAAAAGGCACCAAAATCGAGTTCAAAAACTGTTGAACAGTGGAAAAAACATCTCAATAGGTGTACTGCATCAAATGGAGAGTACTCTGAAAGTGAATGAAGTTTAAACATTTAAAAAGTAAATACATAATTTTTGATAAATAAATTACAGGTTTTTTTGGTTCCTAACCAGAGATGGAACCTGCAACTTTGGCATATTGGGAAGATGCTCTAAAACAACTGAGCTACATGGCTAGGGCTGAGCTGGGTTTTAATGGATGAACAGTTCTTCCGGGAACCAAGAAGTATTGTGGAACAACTGAAGAGTACTTTTAAAAGAAGGGGAGCATAATCTAAACTTCTACCTCAAGGAACTAGAAAAACAACAGCCAAATAAAAGCCAAAGCAAGAAGATGGAAGGAAATATATACAGCAAAATTCAATGAAATTGAACAAAGAAAGACAATAAAACTCAAACCAAAAGCTAGTTCTTTGAAAACAAATAAAATTGACCTAGCAAGACTGGCAAAAAAAAAGAGAACACAAGAGAAAGAAAACTCAAATTATGGTTATTAGAGAGGAAGTAGCCAGGAAGTAGCACCTGGCTGGTGCACAGGATTCAGCACTGGCCTGTGAACCAAAGGGTCACCAGTTCGATTCCCAGTCAGGGAACATGCCTGGGTTGTGGGCCAGGCCCCCATTAGGGGGCACTCAGGAGGCAACTACACATTGATGTTTCTCTCCCTGTCACCCTGCCCCCTCTCTAAAATAAATAAATTTTTTAAAAATCTTAGAAGAAAAAAAAAAAACAAATAAAAGCAGGTATAGCACTAAAGATATTTCACACACTAAAAGATACTGCACACTAAGTCTGCAGCCATACCACCCTAAACACACCCGACATCACCTGATCTGGGAAGTAAAAGATACTAAGAGAATAATAAAAACAACCCTACATACATAAATTTGACAACTTTAATGGACCAATTCCTACACAACCACAACCAAACTTACTTAAGGTGAAACAGATAACCTGAACAGTTTTATTTATTAAAGTAGTAATGGCTTAAAAACAAACAAAAAAAACTTTAGAAAAAGAAATATCTAGGCCTGGGTGGTTTCATTGGTGAATTCTACCAAAAGAAGTTCACACAAATTCTACACAATCTCTTCCAGAAAACAGCTTAGGGAGGAATATTTCCCTATCAGTTTTATGAAGTCAAAACCAGACAAATACAAAAAAAGAAAACTACAGACCAGTATTTTTCATGAACAAAGATTCAAAATTCCTCACAAAATGTTAGCAAATTGAATCCAACAGTAGTTCCCCTTTATCTACAGTTTCACCTTCTGTAGTTTCAGTTATCCACAGTGAACTGCAGTCTGAAAATATTACGTGGAATATTCCAGAAATAATTCATAAATTTAAAATTGTGCACCATTCTGAATAGTGTGATTAAATCTCGCCTTCCTGCTCTCCAGGGACATGACTCATCCCCTTGTCCAGCATGTCCACACTGTATCTACTACCCACCCATTAATCACTTAGAATCCATTTTGGTTATCAGATCAACTGTCGACATATGGCAGTACCTGTGTTCAAGTAACCCTTATTTTATTGGCAAGTTTTAAAAAAATTTATTGGTTTTAGAGAGAGAAGGAAAGGGAGAGAGAGAGGAACATCAATTTGTTTTTCCACTTATATATTCATCATAGGTTGATTCTTGTATGTGCCCTGATTAGGGATCAAACCCACAACCTTGGCATATCGGGACAATGCTCTAAGCAACTAAGCTACCCAGCCAGAGCAGTAACCCTTATTTTACTTAACAATTCCAAAAAGCAAGAGTAGTAAGGCTGGCAGCCCTGGCTGGTGTGCCGGCCTGCAAACCGGAAAATTAGTAGGTTTGATTCCCGATGAGGGCACATGCCTGGGTTGTGGGCCAGGTCCCCAGTTGGGGGTGTGTGAGAGGCAACTGATTGATGTTTCTGTCACACATCAGTAATTCTCTTCCTCTCTCCCCCCGCCCTCTAGAAATAAATAAAATATTAAAAAATAATAGTAGTAAGGCTGGCAATTCAGATATGCCAAAGAGAAGCCATAAACTTCTTCCTTTAAGGGAAAACACATGTATGTATAAGAAAAACTAGTATACATAGAGTTTGGTACTATCTGTGGTTTCAGGTAACCACTGGGATCTTGGAATGTATCCCTGGCAGTTAAGTAGGGTCTACTTCATATAAAAAGAATTATAAACCATGACCAAGTAGAACTGATTTCAAAGATGTTTCAATATAAGGAAGCCAGCCCTGGCTGGCGTACCTCAGTGAATTGAGCGCGGGCTGCGAACCAAAGCATTGCAGGTTTGATTCCCAGCCAGGGTACATGCCTGGGTTGCAGGCCATGGCCCCCAGCAACTGCACATTGATGTTCCTCTCTCTCTTTCTCCCTTCCTTCCCTCTCTAAAAATAAATAAATAAAATCTTTTAAAAAATAAAAAACAAAACAAAACTGTGGCAACCTGATTGAGGCGATAGACCTTTCCACCCAAATTTAAAAAACAAACAAAATATATATATATATATGGAAGCCAATCAATATTATCTACCACATTAACAGTCTAAAGAAAAAAAATTCACATGATCATATCAATTTAACATAATTTGGCATCTATTTATGATAAAAACTATTTAACATAATTTGGCATCTATTTATGATAAATACTATTTAACATAATTTCGCATCTATTTATGATAAAAACTCTAAGCATACAAAGAATAGAAGGAATTTCTTCAACCTGATAAAAAGCATCTACAAAAAACCTACAGCTACCATTAAACTTAATGGTAGAAGACTGGCCATGTTTTTTAAAATCAGGAACAAGGCAAGAATGTCTTCTCTCACCACTCTTATTGTTGGAAGTCCAGCCAATGCAATAAGGCAAGAGAAGGATACAGATTAGAAAGG